AGCTGAGCAACGCACTGACCCGGTGGGTGGCTGCGGCCACAAGGCTGGTCGCGGCGGGCACCTGTCAGAACGTGATAGGTGCAAGGAGGGTGGACGACACCGCGCTGCAGTTGACGCTATCCTGACCCCTGCCCCAAAACCTGCTGCTGCCGCTGCTGCTGTTGTGGCTGCTGCGAGGGGAGGGGCTGCTACTGCTGCTGCTGTCGCTGAGTCAGGTACCACGCCGCTGCTCCACCCCCTTCGGCTGGCAGACCAGTAGGTGGCTGACGAACCCGGGCGTCACCTTCAACAGCTGCAGCAGGGGAGTCACCGGCCGCTGCACGAGGCGCTCCTCCAGCCCCTGCACTCCCGCCACCGCCGCTCGCCACGTCACCCCCACCGCCTCCGCCGCCTCTGCCCGCACCCTGACCGCCCCTCCTGCCACTCCTACCCCGAGACCGCGAAGAAGTCGTAACAACAGCTGCGGTCACGTCAGTAGCGGCAGTGGCGAGGGAGGCAGTAAAGGTGGGCAGCTGAGGGACAGTGCACCCGTGGAACAGTGGAGGGGGCACAGCACCAGAGGCAGAGGCTACCGAGCGGGGGTTGCTCTCGACGTCCTTGAGGACCGACTCAAGGACCTGGATAGTGAGCTCGCTAGGGGGCTTCAGAAGAAGCGCGTCACGAACCGAGGCAAGGCGGTCAGGGAGGCTAGTGGCGATGAAATAGATAGTAATCGCCATGGGGGGAGGGAGCAGTGCAAGCTGTGCGTCAGTGCAAGCAGTGCGGTAGCTAGAATCGAGCGAGCGCAGATGAGTGATCAAGTCAGCAGTGCGCTCAAACGAGGCGAGGTCAGGAAACATGTGACCAAGAGAGACAGTGGTGGGAGTAGCGTAGCGGGCCTTGATCGCAGTCAGGAACTCACTAGTCGTGCGAACCTGAGTGAAGTGGGTCTCCTCAGACTCAGGGAGGAGGCTGCTGAGGTCGATGCAGGCCGCAGCGTCACGCGACTTCCACGCTGTCACGTCAGCACGCTCGCGTGTATAACGGTCACTGTCGGCAGGTGTGGGGTCAGCTGCTAAGGGTGCAAGGTCAGCGGGCTCAGGTAGGTCACCGGAAGCGTGCGCCCACAGAGTCTCGTGTGCCTGAACCTGGCTCTCTAGGAGGCGGCGCGCACGCAGGAGCCAGACCGAGAACTCGAGCGGCCTACCCTCAGCGTCAAAGCGCAGGACCCTAGGGGTCGCCATAGCGGAAGCGTAGAGGTGGATACTGCTGCTGCCGAAACCCTAAACGCCTAAAGGGCCTGCGCAGGGCGTGACAGACAGTGCGACGCGACGGGACAGGACGCGACTTGCAGGGACGGGCGCGACAGGCGCGGACGGGCAGGGCGCACGGGGCGCGACGGACAGGCAGGGCGCAGCGGGGGCGCGACGGACGGGCAGGGCGCACGGAGCGCGACGGACGGGCAGGGCGCACGGGGCGCGACGGACGTGCAGGGTGCACGGGGCGCGACGGAAGGGCAGGGCGCAGCGAGGGCGCGACGGACGGGCAGGGCGCACGGGGCGTGACGAACGGGCAGGGTGCACGGGGCGCGTGCGACGGGACGGGGCGGGAAGCGCGACGCGACGGGACAGAAGGGACAGGCGCAACACGACGGGACAGCAGGGGGTGACGCGACGAGACAGCAGGGGCGACGGGACGGGACGGGATAGCAGGGGCGACGCGACGGCAGGGGCGACGGGACGGGACAGCAGGGGCGATGGGACAGCAGGGGCGACGGGACAGGACGGGACAGCAGGGGCGACGCGACGGCAGGGGCGACGGGACGGGACAGCAGGGGCGACGCGACGGCAGGCGCAGCGGGCGCTAGGGCACGAGAGAGAGGAGCGCGATAGGCGCTAGGGGACAGTACGGGCGTAACGGGCACTAGGGTACGGGACAGGCTCGGGCGCTACGGACGTGAACGAGTGGAACGGGATTCCACCTAGGTGATACCATGTTAAGAATGAAAGTCTTGGTTTGACTAAGGTTGGTTGGGTTGGGGTACATAAACCTAACCCTAACAATTGTACCCCCTATAACACACATAACTAAGACTACAACATTTGACATAGGGTTCTGTTGCCACGATCCACATGTGATGCGGATGCCAATGTTCAGGCCGAGTACACGCATATCCACGCCAGAATATCCACGCTTTATTGCTGTTTCTCTCCTGGTTGATTACCGCAGTGCTAATTACCTGCTACACTGGATTGATTAAACCCATTGGGTTGAGGTCAGAGTACGGTAACATTATCGTTTGAATCAACTCCACTGGAGACAACATCCGCCTCGCCATGAAATCCGTTCCTGGATTGAGGAGGTGGTTTGTGAGGTATTCTATGTCCTAAAAATTGAAGTATTGCTGTAAGGGGGTGGTGTGGTGGGTAATCTCAATTCCATAGATGGAAGGAAACATGCGACGTCATGATTAAAGCCCGAGTACAGCATGGTTATTTTCAAGTTCAAGATTCTTGAACTTGAATTCGTAAAAAACAGGGTTACCCTACTTGTCTGTATGAAACTCTCGCGACTCTGGGAAAACGCCTAGCGACACTCTCTCCTCAACCCCTTCCGCGCCTCATCCCCTTCCGCGCCTAATTCCGTTCTGTCCGTGAGCAGCGCACGCCTCAGCGCGATGAGGAGCGGGCAGCGCACCAATGCGCCTGCCACATATCACGTCACAAGCGGAGCATCTCACCTCCAGCTTCAGGTATCTGCTCCTCCTCTCCTCCGCCGTCTGGCGTTGCGTCTGCCGCAAGTTGCGCCAGCGGACAGCTATCCCATCGCGCGATCAGAACCGATTTCCCCCGCCGACGCAGTCTTTCTTCCGCCTCTCCCCTCCCTCTCCGCCTACAGAAGTCCCCGTGTCGAGTCGCCGCAGTACTCCCATATCGCGCTGTGTCGCGCTCTTCTCAACACCCCTTCCATCGACCCCGCATTATCTTGTTGAGCGAGTCGTCACCTACGTTTGAACGTTCTGTTGTTATCTACTGCGGCTATTTCACACGTGAAGAAGTTACCGTAGCTTCTTTGATCTTGGTGTTTTCTTCGTTCTGAGGTTGTTGGTGCTTTCTGTTTTCGTTTTTGCTGGTAGTTACATTGTGCGAGGACATTCTCCCCTACTTGAACCTGATTGGCTGAAGCACCATCCTAGCGACACTCCTTCCAGTCGCAGTTCTTTGTTTTGCAAAGCTGCACAGTTTGGCGAGACCCCTTTCCCCCTCGTCAACCCATCTCTTTCTCGCTACACTGACTAAACCAAAATTATTGTTTTCAAGTTTCCGCCAACCCTATTTCAAACTCACATAACTTGATAAATTACCATGCTGACCTCGGGCTTTAAGAAGTCATTGTAATGCCACAGAAAATTTTGTTGTACTTGTGTCCTGCCGCCGATGGGGCGGCAGCAGGTGGGGCAATCAAGGGTTGGCGGCGGGATTTCGGTGCGGGAAGAGAACGAATGCCACGTTGTCATTTGTCAACGGTCACCTCACTTCCATCCTCACATCGCATTGCCCTCAGTCACTGCTTTGTGTCCTGTCCCCCCAACCAAATGATTATGAACCTCACGCAACATGTTTGTCAACGCCGAAAATTTTCGGTCAGGTCGTTGACAATTTGCTGGCCTATTGTTTTCACCTCAGGCGTCCGCAGCGTGCTCCCCTCCCCTCCCTCTCCTCCCCTCCCCCGTTCCTCTCCTGCTCCTCCTGGACCTATCACAGTCGGAGTTTGATCGAAGCCAGCCAGATCACATCACGATGGGTATTACCCGGTGCGGATAAGCGAATTAGGTCTCACACGGTGTCCCTCCTATCTTCTCGTGTAAATTACTCCTCGTTTCGTTTATGACTGAGTATCATATACCACAGCGAATGACAATCGCAGGGTATTCGACAGCGGTAGCATGCGATGGCGTGCAACAGAGATAGCGTGCGATGCCGGTCGCATTGGCCAATGCGCACCGAGATCCCGTCAAGATTAGGGTTACTAAGAATGCTTACCCACGGAAATTTTATTTCTTCGGCACCAACGGATGGCATGCGTCTTTCATCTCGTCCACACCGCGAAGCTTCCTCTCGGGTTCTCATTTTCGCGCTAGCATTCGTTATAGCGTTAGCGGAGCTTCTTACGGAGAGTACGGGAAGCGCCGTCGCGACAGGCTCAGGGGCGAACGCTGGAGAAGACAGGAAGTATGCTGACCTTGCTAAAGACGTAGGAGCGATTTCTAATCTGGTCAGGTACAGAAGGGACATTCCGGAGCGACTTGCTCCAGGGATAGCTCCAGAGCTATCAGTTTCGACGCATGTTATTACACACGCGGCTAACCCTGATCTTAACGTTATCTCTGATCGTGACGCTAACGCTGATTCTGATCAAAACGCTCACTTTAATTTTACCGTTAATTCTGATAGGAACCGGGTGCAGCTCAGTAACGCGAACAGCGGCTCTAGCGTCGACGGTTACGATTCGAGCAGGAGCTCTAGTGTCAACGGCCACGATGCGAATACGAGCGCGAGACCGCCGGTGAGAAGTCTGGCGAGCAATGGCAAGAGCAAAGCGGTGCTAACGGTGGGATGCTTGTTCGCCCCTGACCTGCCGGGGGGAGTCGACATGCTGGCCGGTACGCTGCGCTGAGTCTACAGAAAATAGGGCGCGACAAAAATAGGTGGCGTCATGTTGTTGTCGGTGCGCCGCCCACCTCCTCGCCGTCGCGTGCCTGGCAATGCGTCGCCTCTTTCCTTACACCTTCCTCCCTCATCCCTCCTCCCTCCTCCTGCCTTCCGTCCACCAAGCTCACGTGTCTTCTGTCGCTCCAACGCCCCCTTTGCCGCTGATCACTCCTCTCGCTCCTTCTCTCCTCCTTTTCCTCTCCTTTCATTTCCCCCTGTCCTCTCATTTCCCTCTTCGTCTCCGCTCCTTTTTGTGTCCTCTTCACCTCCCCTTCTCCCTTCTGCTCCTTCCCCTTCTTCCCCGGCCAGCCTCTGTCATGGCAGTGGAGGAAATCAACGGCGATCCCAGCATCCTGCCAAACCACGTGCTGCATCTGACGGTGCAAAACTACTCCATAGCCTCTCTCGCTAGCCAGCTCGCAGGTACTCCCCTCCCCCTCCCTCCCATTGTCCTCTGCTCGTCCCCTTCCCCTCCATGTTCCCCCCTTCCGCTTTTTCTCCTTCCCCACCCCAAGGCCCACGTTGATTCCACCTTTTTTTCCCCCTTCCTGTGCTCGGTTTTCCGCCGTTTCACTCTGCTGCGCTTTCTGGATCTCCTCCAGCCCATCCCAACCTATCCCATCCTCTCCCATCCTCTCCCATCCTCTCCTGTCCTTCCCCCTTACTGATTGTCTTTCCCCCATTCTCTTTCCCTCATTCCTGCCACCCTCTCGTCTCCACGTGGATTCATCTCCTGCCTCCACGTGGCAGCATTTAAACTGCTCGAGAACCATCCGGTGGCTGTGATTGGCCCACACACATCTGACCAGGCCGCCCGATTTAGCCCAATTGCAGCCGCAACCCAGGTAACACAAACAGACAACCAATGCCACCGAACCCAATCACCAATTACGAGGAGAGAAAACTCAGATTCCTGTCAATCTTGCCTATTCAGTGCATAATTTATATGTCATACATGATACATCTGCCGGTCGCCTCCGAAAACCCTTACGCTAAACTTCACCCAATGCCTTATTCATGCCCCTTTCCTTCCTTCCTTCCTTCCTTCCTTCCTTCCTTCCTTCCTTCCTTCCTTCCTTCCTTCCTTCCCGCCCTCTGTAACACTCCACCACGTCCCCCCTCCCCTCCACACCCCACCCCCCCCGCTTCTCTTCGTCCTCCTTCCCGTCCCCCCTCGTTCTGGTCCCCTTGTCCGTCCAAGCCCACGTCCTGTCCCGCTTCCTGGCCTCCAGCAGGCACCATCCATATCGACATCAGCACCAGACAATTTTGTGAGTCGCATAAGAAATTGTTTTGCTTCCTGCCCTGCCCCCTCCCCAGGTGTCATTCATATCGGCATCTGCAACGGACGTACAGGTCACCCGGGGCGCTGTTTGAGTCGACTGAACAATCTGCTCCCCCGTTGTGGCCCCCTCTCCCCCAACAATCCCCACACACCAGGTGTCATTCATATCGGCATCTGCAACTGCAACGGACGTACAGCTCACCCAGGGCGCTGTTTGAGTCGACTGAAAAACCCGCTCCCCTCTCGTGCCCCGCCCTTCCCCCGCCACATCCCCCCCCACCAGGTGCCGTTCATATCGGCGTCAGCAACGGACGTGCAGCTCACTCAGGGCGCCACCCGCCCCTTCTTCTGAGTCAACTCAAAAGTCGCCTTACCCTCTTCGCCCCTCCCCCCCCCCCCCCCCCCCCCCCTCCTCCCACCAGGTGCCGTTCATATCGGCATCAGCAACGGAAGTGCAGCTCACTCAGGGCGCTGAGTGTCTCCCCCTTCGTGGCCCCCAACCCCAACCCCCCTTCCCCCCCAACACCCCCCCCCACCAGGTGCCGGTCATATCAGCGTCAGCAACGGACGTGCAGCTCACTCAGGGCGCCACCCGCCCCTTCTTCATGCGCACCGTGGCCAGCGATGGCGTGCAGATGGCCGCCATGGCAGGTGTGTGTGCGAGTGACAGATGGCAGGCAGGTGCACAGCACCTAAGTTGCCAAATACGCTTATTGCGTATATATGCGTATCGTATATACGCTAGCGTATGTACGCTATCCGCGTAGGGGGTCGATCTGGACATACGCTTTTTCGGGCAGGGAAAAAACTTTCCGGGCAGGGTAGGAAAAAATACTCCGTATTCTCACTATGTCGTGCCCTAGCAGCATTCTTCTGAGTCCGAACGGCGGGTGAGGTGGGAGGTGGGGTAGACATTTCAGCTAGGGAGAGAAGTAGGAGTGGGCGGGAGGGGACTCTGCTGGAAGCGGGAATGAATCGTGGGAAATGACGAATTTGCAGCTTGGCTGGCTGGTAAGTAGCGTGAAATGTTAGTTGAGGGGTCGATTTTGACAGGTTGGAGTTGGGTTGGGATGGGTTTCAATGCGGTAGATGAGATGGGTTTCAATCAATGTGTAGATCTGAAATTCGACATTTGGGCCTAGTTCGGCAGCCAGGGGGAGGCAAAATTTTAGGAAGATAATGGGAAGGTGAGGCACGCGTCAAACCAGGGTCAACGAATCTTGACCCTGGTTTGACTGCTCCGCGGACAATCTGCGCCATGGGGGAGCTGGCGCAGGTTGGAGGGGGGGGATGGGAAAAAACGCCGCAAGAGAGAGGTACATTTGGCCTCAAATTCGCTTGTCCCAGGGCACTGTAGCGGGAACAGAGTGGCTGGCCCAAAAAAAAAATAGAGGTTCGCGCCCCACGCTGTTGGGGAAACCCTACTTTTGAAAACCAATAGGGCCCGTACTATATTGGAGTAGTGTTTTTTCTGTGCATTAACCCTTTCCTTCGTAGGGTGCAATGTTGTCCCGTGAACAGTGCAAACCCTGGAATAAAAAAAGTTGATTCTTGTGATTTGAGAGAATCACTTTTTTCTTCCGTCTCACTAGGGCGGAAGCTTTCCGCCAGGGTGGGGGGAATAAGGACAGAAGACGGCGCGGAATCAATTTTCAATGGTGTTCGCGTCGCTGCTGTAAAACACCTGCGCCTCGGTTTCCGAAATTTTAACCCTACAACCCGCACTGTACAGCCCTCGATAATGCGATTTGAAGCTTCGTAGAAGAAGCCACAAGTTTTTCTTCCGTCCTTCTTCGGTGGCTGCCGAACTGAGCCCTGATTTGCCAAATGTGCCTCAAAACTTCGAAGTCAGATCCCGGCTAGCCTAGACCACGGATTTTCATTTCGACTTCGGCGAAATGCTCACCTAGAAAACCCGCAACTATTTCGCGATATTTTTTTGGGCAGCCCGGAAAATTTTCGAACTGCGTATAGCGTATTCGCGGGCGTATAGCGCATAGCGTACAAACGCCAGCGTACATACGCTATGCGCTGAAGGGGTTGAGCGTATTTGGCAACTTAGCACAGCACATGGCAGGTAGGTAGCAAGCAGCAGCAAACCTGTGTTCTTCATGCGCGCTGTGCCCAGTGATGGCGTGCAGATGGCCGCCATGGCAGGTGGGGATGAATCTCAACCCCCATTAGGTGGTGGCAGGAAGGTAGGTACAAGATGCCAGGTGCCGGTAGCGGCAAGCAACACGTGTGCTTGTATTTCATTTGCACGGCGCCTAGCGACGGCATGCAGATGGTCACCCCGTTACGTGGTGGCAGGTAGGTAGGTAGGTACAAGATGCCAGGTGCCGGTAGCAGCAGCAGAAGCAGCAACAGCAGCAGCAGCAACAACATGTGTGTTGGGTTTTCTTCTTACTTCATGCGCACCGTGCCCAGCAGGGGCGTGCAGATAGCCGTTGGGCTCCCGGGGCATACAGGTGGGTATCTGCCAGGCTATCACACGTGCGAATCACAACTGGTAACAGATAGCCGGCAATTCCCATGCCAGCTCCTCCCATGCCAGCCGGCTCCAGACTTCTCCAGTGATGACACGCACACACATGCCAGCCACCCATGTGAGAGCTGCTCCTCCCCGCTTCCCCTCCCCCCTTCCCCCCCTCCCACCTCTTTCCTCCTCTTCCCGCCTGCTGCCAGTACCCTCCCGCCACCCCCTCTCCCTCCACTGCTCGCCTCTTTTGAACCAATCAGAGCTGATGAAGCACCATAATTGGCACCACGTGGCACTCATCTACAGCAGCAGTCGTCCCACCACCGTCACCCCCCCGTCTCAACCAATAAGAGCTGACCAAGTGCTACAAGTGGCAGCAGGTAGCTTGCATTTACAGCGACGACCGAACCGATGGGGGACTATTGACTCGACTCCAAACCCCCTTTCCGCCTCCATCCATCCCCGCCCACCCCCCCTTCCCTTCCTCGTCTCAACAAATCAGAGCTGATAAAGCGCTACAAGTGGCAGGAGGTGGCGCTCATCTACAGTGACGACCGCTTTGGCCGCAACGGGGTGGCTGCGCTCACCTCACACCTTCTCACCATCCGTGTGAGTCACATGGACGAGATGAGAGAGGGGAAAGGTGTTGCTGCTCCATTGTTCCTTGCTTTGAGGCGCCTCAAAAGTTGACCGCTTCGGCCGCAACGGGGTAGCTGCGCTCACCTCACACCTTCTCTCCATCCGTGTGAGTCACATGGACGAGATGAGAGAGGGGAAAGGTTTTTCAGTCGACTCAAAACAGAGACAATTTTTTAGTCGCCTCAAAAACCATCCGTGTGAGTCACATGGATGAGAGAGGAAGGGTTTTACGGCTCCATTGTTCCTTTTCCAGTGTTCTCCCACCCACCCCACTTCCCCTCGATTCCGCAATTGCCTACCGCCACCTACACAACCCTCCTCTCCCCCCCCCCCCCCCCCCCCCCCCCCCCCCCCCCCCCCCCCCCCCTTTTTGTGCCCATTCCTCCTTGAGAGGCTAAGACGTCTTCAGAGGTTAGAGGCGTTTCATAAGTTTTGCGGCGTTTGGTAACCTTGAACCCTTGAAACCTTAAATATGGACTTGTGTGTGTCAATCCATTCCTCCCTCCTTGATGCTGCTGAGACGTCTCAATGCGAGGCTTGCGGCAGCGACATGAAACCCTAAACCCAAACAGTGCAGGTGGCCATGCCGCCGCCAGCCACGCATGCAGCCTTGCCAACGCGGAAGCATGTGCACCTCATGATGTCTCACCTTGCCCCAGCCGATTCCACCAAACTATGCCGTGCAATGGCTTACCTTGCCTTTACCATAACAGGCGGAGGCGGATGTGGCAGTGAGGGTGGCCATCCCGCTGTCAGCCACAGACGAGGCCATTCACGGCTACATTTCCTCCCTGGTGCCGCTAGACGTGGCGGTTTATGTGCTGCACGCGTCCGCCACTGTCTTCTTTACCGTCGTTGAAGCTGGTGAGTGGCGCAGAACAGATAGTTTTTTTAGATGTCTCACATGTCAGCCTCAGACGAGGCCATTCACGAGCACATGGCGTCCCTGGTTCCTTCCATTGGACGTGGCACAAGGGACATGCCGCCTCATGTCCTCCCTGGTGCCACTAGACGTGGCGGTCTACATGCTTGCTGCACGCCTCCACCACTATACTCTCTACCGTTGTGGAAACAGGTGGGTTGTGTAGATTGTTGTAGGCACGGCAAAGGCGAAACCAGGAGAGAGTGGAAAGGAAGGAGAAGAACGGCTGCCACTAGACGTGGCGGTCTACGTGCTTGCTGCACGCCTTCACCACTGTATCTCTACCGTCGTTGAAGCAGGTGGTTGCCCCGCTCTCCCCACTATATTCACCTTTTTTCTGTTGAAGCAGGTGGATTCTGCAAGCAGCTCAATGACTTTTGAGGCGCCTCAAAAGTCGTTTTCTGTTGAAGCAGGTGGATTCTGTGAGCAGCTCAATGAGAGCAGTGAAGTAGAGTATTAGGGGTTGGGGCGTTGGCGCCGCTACTCTTGGTGAAACCGGAGGCTGGGAGGCTTAGATTAAACACACCAGTCTTTCTGCGAGATTAAGCCTAAAAGGAAAGGACTAACACAGTGTAGTGTCTTTCTTCGTTTCACCAGGGATATAACTAGGATGCACGCGTTAATCAAGAGTGGGGAAAGGAAGGGCCTGGTGGTAGGGGAAGGTCGCAGAGCTGCTTAGAGAGAGAGTATGAGCTCAAGAAAGAGCCCAACCTCTCTGGCTGTCCAAGTGAAAATCGCTGTCACGCGACCCGAGTCGTTCATCCTCTCAACCTCACTGTTTCGCTCCTCCCACCTTCACCCTCATCCTCCCTCCTCACCATCACCCCCTATCAGCCAAGAAGCTGCGGCTGTATGCGCGCAGCAGCGTTTGGATCGCCTCGGATGGAGCAGCTGTCATGAGTATCACGTCCAATCAACACTTGGATGTGAGTGGAGAGTGGTGCTGGGACTCTGGTGCAGAGTGGTGATTGTGAGTGGAGAGTGGTGGTGGTGGTGTAAGTGTGGTGCTGGGTTGACTTTTGAGTCGACTCAAAGGTTAACTCTGAGGCGGCAGCTGGCATGAGTGCCGCGTCCAGGCACTGTGTGGATGTGAGTGCGCAGTGGTGCTGGTCCGAGTGGGGTGCTGGTGTGGCTGTGGTGCTGGTGTGATTGCGGTGCTGGTGTGAGTGGGATGATGTGAGTGTGTCTTGTGATTGCAGAGTGGTGATGTGAATGAATAAGAGGATTGTAGGTAAGTGTGCTATGTTTCGAGTGTTTGGTGGCTTGGGTGGCCCGCATTTTCTCTGCTCTCCTCGCCACTTATCCTCTCTCCTCTCCTCTCCTCTTCTCTCAACTCCTCTTCTCTCCTCCCTCTTCCTCTCCTCTCCTCTCCTCTTCTCTCATCTCCTCTTCTCTCCTCCCTCTTCCTCTCCTCTCCTCTTCTCTTTCCTCCCCTCTTCTCCCCTTTCCTCTCCTCTCCTCTCCTCTCCTCTCCTCTCATCTCATCTCCTCTCCTCTCCTCTCCTCTCCTCTCCTCTCCTCTCCTCTCCTCGCCTCGCCTCTCCTCTCCTCTCATCTCATCTCATCTCATCTCATCTCATCTCATCTCATCTCATCTCATCTCATCTCATCTCATCTCATCTCATCTCATCTCATCTCCTCTTCTCTCCTCTTCTCTGACTCTGCTCGCCTCTCTCAACCCCACACCACCCCTCTCTCCTCTCTTCCAGGGTCTCATCATCACAGCCAATTGCATGTTCTCCTCTCCGTCTCTCTCATCACCCCTCTCAACCCCACTCCACCACTCTCTCACCCTTCGATCACAGGGCCTAATCATCACAACCACCCACGTGCCCTCCTCACCGCGCCTCTCATCCTTCCTTGATCGCTGGAAGCACCTCAATGCCTCACAGTACCCTGGACTCTCCATAGAGGTACACTACACCCTATGCTCGTTATAAGCTAGTAGTGTGTGAGATTCTTCAGTAGCAGCTCAATGCCTCACTTACAGTAAGATGAGGTGATAATGGTCGATTAATCTTCACCGCGAAACATGTATCAACAGATTCTGAGGTGGAGTCACCATGGAGGTATGCCCTGTTGTTCTCGTCATGACCTAATGTCTGTCTGAGACGCTTGAAGAATCGCCACCACTCATGAACTAACCTATTCGTAGCTGCATCTTGCTGTTTATGTTCTTTGCTCCTCTGCTTAGGTATTGACATCCTGCTCCTGACAGTTTTTGAATCCCCTACCACACACTTCCCTCTCGACCCCTTCCCCCCACACCTCCCTCCCGCCAAGCCAGAGGCCATCCCCATACGCGCTCTCGTCCCACGATGCTGTCTCCCTCGTCGCATGCGCGCTCCACTCTCTGCTCTACCCCTCCGCTCCTGTACCAACCAACTCGTCCTCCAATGAGACCACGTCAGCACAGCAGCAGAAATTGGGGCAACAGCAAACAGTGGGGCAACAGAGGCGAATGCAGCAGCAAACGGGGCCGCAACAGGAAGAAGGGCAAGAGAAGAGAATGCAGCAACAAACGGGGCGGCAGCAGCAAGAGGGGGTAGGGCGAGCATTCCAGCAGCTGGAGCTGCCTGTGCTGCCACCGCTTCCCAACGGCACCCATGATGCCCTTGCCCCACCACTCACCCGCCTTCAACAAAGTGCAAGTATGCTGCGCTTTGTCTTCCTGCCCCATGCAGCTTGCCCCATGCAGCTTGCCCCATGCTGTGCCTTGCTCCATGCGTCTTGCCCATCATCCCCATCATCCCCATCATCCCATCATCCCCAAAATCCCTCGCACCCACCTCCACAACTATATCTATACCTTGCGCTCCTCTCATCTGCCTTTAGTCTGCTGATCCTGATTGCATGCTTCTCTCGTTGCTCTGTTGCTGCTGTGCTGCTGTGTCCTCCACTCCACAGTTGTGGCCCCCCTAACGTTTTCAATCCCAATACAATCAAACTCCTTTACTTGATGTTTGCCCCGTCCTGATCCAATGCCTGCTTGCCAATGCGCTGCACCAATGCATGTTTGCCCCGCCGTCCTTGAACCCAACCCAACCACAGTGGGACCGGCACTGCAAGAGGCACTTCTTCGAACCAGCTTCGATGGGCTGTAGGGCAGTGTTGACTCCCTGACCTCCTCATTGCCAATACAAAACCAATTTCTCGACTTGATGTTTGCCCCGCGCTGCTCCAATGCGTGTCCGCGCTGTTCCAACCCAACCACAGTGGGACCGGCACTGCGGGCGGCACTTCTTAAAACCAGCTTCGACAGGCTGTAGGGCAGTGTTGACTCCCTCACCTCCTCATTGCCAATACAAAGCAATATCTCAATTTGAGGTTTGCCCCGCGCTGCTCCAATGCGTGTCCGCGCTGTTCCAACCCAACCCAACCACAGTGGGACCGGCACTGCGGGAGGCACTTCTTAAAACCAGCTTCGACAGGCTGTAGGGCAGTGTTGACTCCCTGACCTCCTCATTGCCAATACAAAACCGATTTCTCAAATTGGTGTTTGCCCAACCCAACCCAACCGCAGTGGGACCGGCACTGCGGGAGGCACTTCTTAAAACCAGCTTTGACGGGCTGCAGGGCAGGTCTGGCTTGTCGAGGGGAAGGGGGGATAAGGGTTGAGGAGTGTGGGAGGGGAGTGTGGTGTGGGGGGACGGTGGGAGGGGAGGGGGATGTGGGGAGAGGAGTGTGGGGGAGGGGAAATGGGAAGAGGAGTGTGGGAAGGGGAGTGTGAGGGGTGTGGGAAGGGGAGTGTGGGAGAGCATGCACTGCGAGTTATCCGTGACATTCATAAAGTGAGATGAGAGTGATAGGTACCTACCTGCACGAGGTGACTTTTGAGTCGACTCAAAAGTCACTTTGTGTGGGAAGGGGATGGTGCGAGAGCATGCACTGCGAGTTATCCGTGACATTCAAGTGAGATGAGAGTGATAGCCTGATAGGTGCACGCACAATTCCTTCTTTCTCTGTGCTTCTCCTCGTTCCGCCTCCCCTTCTTCCACCCACTCTCATACTCACTAGAGGCGTCCACGTTCGCTGTTTTTCCTCCGACCCTCCCCCTCACACCTGTTCTCCTCTTCTGCAGTTCCTCCAATCCCATTTCTGTCGTCCCTTTGGTCCCCCAGTTCCTCCTCCCCTCGCCTGCTCTCCTCCCCTTGCCTTTCCACGCTCTTACACTCCAGAAACGCTCTTGACCGTTTTGCACCCATGCCTCTCCCATCAGGATCGCGCTAACCCCACACGGGGACCTGGCCGCAAACGAGATCCGCATTGTCAACATCCAGCGAGGGGCGCCCGTGGAAGTGGGTCTCTGGTCCTCCATCCATCTACCTTCCACCATGTACCCCCGACCTCTTCTCCCCCTCCTCCCTCACTCTCCCCCTCCCTCACTTCTCCCCTGCCTCACTTTCCCTCTGCCCTCTCAGGATCGCGCTAACCCCACACGGCGACCTGGCAGCAAACGAGATCCGCATTGTCAACATTCAGCGAGGGGCGCCCGTGGAAGTGGCCCTCTGGTCCTCCACCCTTGGCCTCGTCCCCTCCTCCTCCCGCCCACCTCCCCAGACCTCCTCCTCACCTTCCTCCGCCTCCCCTGCTTCGCCCCCAGGGCCTGTCGCAGACTCCAACGCACAGGTTAGTCGGCCTCGTCCCCACCTCCCGCCCATCCCCCAACCATCCCCAGCCTTCCCACCTTCCCCCGCTTCCCCTGCCTCGCCCCCAGGGTCTGTTGCAGGCCCCATCACAGCACACAGGTCAGTCACCCTCACCCTCCCTCGGCCTCCTGCCTGCCCTCCCGCCCGACCCCCGACCCTACCCAGCCCTCCCCGCCTTCCCGTGCTTCCCCTGCGGCAAGCCCAGGCTCGTTATTAGGCACCAGCTCACATGTTGGGACGAATCTGTATACGACTGTTGAGACGTCTCAAAAGCCCCTGCTTGCTTCCCCTGCGTCGTGGCCGGGCTCGTATAGGCTCCACCAGCTCACAGGCTCGTATAGGCTCCACCAGCTCACAGGCTCGTATAGGCTCCACCAGCTCACAGGCTCGTATAGGCTCCACCAGCTCACAGGCTCGTATAGGCTCCACCAGCTCACAGGCTCGTATAGGCTCCACCAGCTCACAGGCTCGTATAGGCTCCACCAGCTCACAGGCTCGTATAGGCTCCACCAGCTCACAGGCTCAGGCATGGTTTGCACCATGTTGGGCCAAACCTGTATATGTCACGCTTGGGTTGTCCTACGCTCATTAGGCACGAGCAAGCAAGTAGCACTGCTTGTCACACCAATATGATTGCTCGTTTGGAAGAATCAGTACAAGCAGGGGAGGGTAGCATGCTTGGCGTTTCCAGAGCCCTTCTAACTTGTAAATCTTCTAACTGCCATTGCCTCCCCGTTCAATCGAAAGCTTTAACTTATGATTCAATGTCGTTACCTCCGTGCATTGCTGTGTGCAGGTTTTAAACGCTCTTCCCATCGTTTTTCCTGGAGGACTCACCCAGGTAGATGGAGGGGGGGGAGTCATCATGCTGTCAGTCTGAATCTGTTTTTTGTTTTAATTCCTAAAAAACAGACTCTTCCCATCGTCTTCCCTGGAGGACTCACCCAGGTAGATGGAGGTGGGGGAAGTCATCATGCTGTCGGTCAGCGATACTGCAGGCTCAGTCCTCTTGTGTTCTTTGATTCCTCCTGAACCAGTGCTACCCGTTTCTCCTCCTCGTTGTTGCACTCCTTGGGTTTTGGAAATTGCAGTCCCGCAAACACTCCTCGTTGCAAATTTTGCACGCCTTACCTCACCCCTGCCCCTTCCCCTGCCACTGCCCTGCCCCTCTGCCCCTTGCCCCTGTCTTTGCCCCTGTCCCTGCCCCTGCCCCTGTCCCTGCCCCTGCCCCTGCACTGCCCCTGCCCCTCCCCCTGTTTCTGCCCCTGTCCCTGCCCCCGCTCCCGCCCCTGCTCCCTGTCTCCTCGTGTGTCGCTGTCTCCTCCTGCAGGCGCCAACTGGATCATTTCCCAAGACCCGGCTTCAAATCGCAGTGCCGAACAAACAGGTGCCTTCTTGCACAATGGTGAAAGTTAGAAAACCACTACAGGTTCCCTTATCAACAAATGCACATTCACTTATCAGCAAGTGGCCACATCAACAAATTCTCTTATTACCAGGCGCTCTTATCATCACCACCAGGAGGTTCATTAACAAGTGAATTTTGAGGCGCCTCAATATACACCTCTTTGAGGCGCCTCAAAATACACCTCTTATTACCAGGCGCTCTTATTGTCACCACCAGGAGGTTCATTAACAAGTGCGTATGTAGGCGATGTGTAGAGAGGGTGTTTTTGAGACGTCTCAAAAACGTCACCACCAGGAGGAGTGTTCATTAACAAGTGCGTATGTAGGCGATACGCTTTCTTTCGGGTAACCATTTGGCCAAACGCGTGTGATCTGGTCCGCTGTTGTGGTCAGCCATTTCGTGATTCTGGAAAGCCCGCTTTCCCGTTACCCCTCCCGGCTTCTCCCCCCCTCTCCCCGGCCAGCAATACCAGGAGGAGGACGAGACGAGAGGAGGGGAGGGGGTGGCAAGAATAGCTTGCCAGGCCATGGTTATTGTTAAGTTGACTCAACTTAACAGCTCTTCCTCCTTTCTCCCCCCTCCGGCTAGCAATACAAGGATTATGTGAACGTGTCGGACGTCTTGGGGGGGGGGCAACAATAGCTTGCCAGGCCATAGGAAATGTTCAGTTGACTAGGAAGTAACTCTCCCCCCCTCCCGTCCCGCCAGCAATACAAGGAGTATGTGAACGTGTCGGACGTGGGCGAGGGCAACAGCCGCTTCTCAGGCTACTGCGTGGAGCTCTTCCGCCTGGCCGTTACGCGGTTACCCTACAAGCTCGACTACGAGTTTGTCTCGTACGGCGACAAGGATCTCAGCTACACTCAGATGGTGCTGGCCGTCGCCAACAAGGTGCGTTGCGTCCCTTCAGAAAATGTGTCGTGTGCCATTGTAACGAGGTGACTTTTGAGTCGACTCATAAGGCGCCCACCTACACACAGATGGTGCTGGCCGTGGCCAACAAGGTGAGTCGTACGCAAGGTAACCCTTCTCTCACTCAAGATGGTAGTAGGTAGGTAACCTAGAAGAAGATCTTACCTTACGTGTCGTACATATACCATGCAATGCTATGCCATGCCATGCCATGCCATGCCATGGCACACCCCAAGCTGATCGCACCTCACCAGTCTTAAAGGCATCTCGAGGCGTTTCAGAAGAAGGTTGCCCTACACCTTAAATCCCCGTGCCCTGTGCTGTCCTGTGCCCTGTGCTGCCTGTTGTTGCCCTGCTGTCTACGCCCTTGGCTGGCTGACAGAGGTACGTACGATGCAGCAGTGGGGGACATCACAGTGCTGGACTCGAGGAGCGAGTCGTTGAGGTGCCTCCGCTCCCTGTTCTTAGCTGCCCTGTGCTGCCCTGTGCTGCCCTCTGCTGCCCTCTGCTGCCCTCTGCTGCCCTATGTTGCCCTGCTCTCCTCCCCCCTGCCTGGCAGACATACGATGCAGCAGTGGGGGACATCACAGTGCTGGACTCGCGGAGCAAAGTCGTCTTCTTCACCTACCCCATCCAGGTATGTATGGTACGGTACAGGCGCACTCCAGGTAGCGGCAAATGCTGTCAGAAGACCAGCACTGGGGATGCCCGATTGATCCTAGGGAAGGGTTACAGGCTCGCGAGCTTGGGGAATTATGGGCGCACTGATCTGCTACTTAACAAGCCATTTTATCTCAATGGTCTAGTGGTTGAGATTCTGACATGGTATCAGAGCGAAGGTCTCGGGTTCGAATCCTCATGTGTGCACATGCTGGCACGCCGCTGTGCCGTGTCTCAGGGCATCTCTGTGAGGGGGGGGGGGTGTCAGAAGACCAACACCGGGGATGCCCGATTGATCATAGGGAAGGGTTACAGGCTCGTGAACTTGGGGGGTTATGGGCACACTGAACCGCTAGTTATCCAACCCCTTTATCCCAGTGGTCTAGTGGCTGTGATTCGGACAAATGTCAAATGTGCACCTACCCCATCCAAGTTCTGGCTCACTCACACACCACTCCTAATGCTGCTCTCCCCTCCGTTTCCCTCTCCCAGCAATCCGGGCTGGGCGTGATGGGGTATTCGCGGCCGTACAGCAACCCGTGGCTGGTCTTCTCCCCGTTTGCACCTAGCATGTGGGCCATCACTGCCACCATCTGCATCACCACAGGGCTGCTCGCCCTGCTGCTGGACAGGCAAAGGACGCCTGACTTCCAGGGCACGCTGCAGAAGCGCCTTATGACAGCCGTGTGGTGAGTGAGTGTGCTGGTGGTTGGTGGCGCTTCATTGCGAGGGCTGGTTGGCATAGGCCTGCTGGCTTGGCTGCTTGACACTTGTATCACGTCGCTTGGCTGTTTGCTCGCCGTGCTGTGGGACGAGGGGGCGACGTGATACAAGTGTAGTTTTGAGACGTCTCAAAACTACACTTCTATCACGTAGCTTTTGAGGCGCCTCAAAGTCAAATGTATTGAGACGTCTCAAAACTACACCTCTATCACGTTGCTTGGCTGCTTGCTGTTGGACGTGGGAGCGCACGCCGGCATGCTGCACAAGAGCATTTCACAGTTGTGTGTGTAGTCAGTCGGCTGGAACTTGGTGGCTCAGATAGGTGTGTCGTGCGCGCGTGCGCAGGCCCACACACACACCCACGCACACTCACACACACACACACGCACGCCGGCATGCTGCACAAGCGCATATCACAGCTGTGTAGTGAGTGGGCTGGAACTTGGTGGCGCTTCAGACAGGTGTGTCGTGCATGCGTGCACAGGCCCACACACTCACACACACACTCACACACACACACACACACACGCACACACACACACACACACGCACGCACGCACGCACGCACACACGCACACACACACACACACACACACGCACACACTCGTGCGCACGTGCGCGCACACACACACACACACACACACACACACACACACACACACACACACACACAAACACACACACACACCGCTTCACCCACCGTGTGTGTTTGATTATCCCTCCCTCCCACGCTTCTCGTTGCTTTCAGGTACGGATACCACACGTTCTACTCCATTCCCTGTGCGTCACTTCTCCCCACCTCTCCCCACCACTCCCCACTTCTTCCCACCTCACTCCACCTCTCCCCCTCCCTTCTCTCCCTCACCCCCCCCTTCTTGTCGCGTGCAGGTATGGATGCCACACATTCTACTCCATTCCCGGTGCGTCACTTCTCCCCCTCCCTTCTCTCTTCTCTCCTTCTTCTTCTCCTCCCCTCACCTCCCTCCCCACTCGGCCTGCTCTCACAAGTTATTGCCGGTTTCATTGGTTTGACACCGTACTCTTGAGTCGACCCAGTAGTCACCTCACTCACTTGACATGGAACTCTCAATGCAACAGCCAACATTGCGACAGGAGACGAATTTTCAGGCGCCTCCAAAGTCGTCTCCTGTCTCGAGGTTTTGAGAGGCGCCTCAAGAGTCGGCCCAGCAGTCACCTCACTTGACAAGGAACTCTCAATGCAACAGCCAACAGTGCTCGACCCTCCTTCCTTTATCGCATTGCAATCGGTACACAATTCCTATCCGTATGCTGTTCCTCCCTCCATTGTCTGGCATTTCCCCAACTGTCATTCTTGACTTCATAAAAATTGGTCACTTGTTATAAAATAATGTACGCGTAACGCTTTTATCTGTGGTGGTGTGTGTGTATATGTGTGCGTGCGTCGCACCTCCCTACAGTGTTCCGCATCCGCACAACGCTTGCAAGGGCAGTCGTATGCATCTGGCTCCTGCTGGCCTTCATTATAGCCACATCCTACACTGCCAGTCTCACCGCCATCCTCACAGTGCAGAGGCTCCTTCCCCAAATCCTTGTGAGCCTCCCCTCCATAATAATCACCCACCCGCATTGTAGTCAGTTTCGTTTGCACTGAACACGAGCACCTGTTATCACTCTCGTTCGTACGAGAATGCGCGTGGTAGGTACCAGGTAAGGATTGTAATCTCCTACATTAATTAGAACATGTGCAACCCTTTTAGGATTGTGATGCAATGTGAGGAACTACCTCTTCTTCGAGCCCATCCCAGATTCTCCTCCATCCCTCTGTCCCCACTCTTTATTCGCACCCTGCCTGCAACACCTCTCAACCCCTCTCAACACCTCTCAACTCAACCCCTCTCAACACCTCTCATTTCACCTGCAAAAACATGGACCCACGCCTCTCCTGTGACCTGCCCGTGCACCCTCCACCCTGCCAGGACATATACTCCGCCCTCACCAGCAACTCGCCCATCGGGTACCAGCAGGGCTCCTTCGTGCACGCGTACCTGCTGCAGCTGGGTGTTTCCCCTGTGAGTGCCTCGTTTACACTTACCGATATCGTGGGTATTAAGAGTAAGTGCATTACTTACTCTTATGGTTGGTACTAAGAGTATGTGTGTTATTTACCCTAATAATTGGTACTAAGATATTTTGCGTTACTTACTATTATGGTCCGTACTAAGAGTTGGTGCGTTGCTTACCCATATGGTTGGTACTAAGAGTAACTGCTTTATTTACCCTAATGATTGGTACTAAGAGTAAGTGGGTTACTTACCATTATGATGGTACTAAGACTAAATGCGTTACTTATCGAAATGGTTGGTACCAAGAATAAGTGCATTACTTAGGGCGCATTCCTGGCTTCGTATTATCCGGCTTTTGTATCATCCCGTATTTATTTTCCGAACCGCGGGTTTTCCAATTCGAGCTTCGGGTTTTCCGATTCGGAATGTCGCGAGCTTCGGCGAACTGGGTGTCCGAAATTGAGTTTGGCGTGAGTGAGAATTTCGTCTAGCTGCTGTGCGACATTTCTTATAGAGCAACGAAACTGATTCAATGATTACAGCAACAATGAACATTGCGATCACAAATTTAGTCGCACCAAAATCTCACTCTCTCGCCAGCTAGCTCTCACGATCGCATCTCAAACTGACGAGAGTCACGAATGAGGGTATCCGTCTAATTTTCTTCCTAAAAAACTCGCCAACAAATTTGTTGTGTTGACCCGAGGTGAGTATTACAGCTCGTGTCTTCCCACAATTTCGGATGACACAAGTAGCGGATGACACGAAGCCAGGAATGCGCCCTTACCGTCATGGTTGGTACTAAGAATAAGTCCATTACTTACCATAATTGTTGGTACTAAGAGCAAGTGCGTTATTTACCGATATGGTTGATATTAACAGTAAGTGCGTTACTAACCCATATTGTTGGTACTAAAACTAAGTGCGTTGTTTACCGATATGGTTCGTAATAAATGTAATTGTGCTACTTACTGAAATGGTTGGTATCAAAAGTAAGTGCGTTAATTTTCACATATGGTTGGTATTAAGAGTGAGTGCGTTACTTACCGATATGGTTGGTACTAAGAGTAACTGCGTCACTTACCATTATGGTTCGTACATAAGAGTAAGTGTGTTATTATTCCCCCTTATGGTTGGTACCAAGAGTAAGTGTGTTGTTTACCCTAACGGTTAATACTAATAGTAAGTGCGTTACTTGCACATATGGTTGATACTAAGAGTAAGTCTGTTATTTACCCTTATGGTTGGTACCAAGAGTAAGTGTTTTAGTACTCTTATGGTTGGTGATAAGAGTAAGTTCGTAACTTACCATAATGGTTTGTACTAAGAGTAAATGCGTTACTTATCAATATGGTTGGTTTTGCGAGTTAGTGCATTACTTATCCACTACCGTGACTTGTTGTCCCCACTCTCCCCACCCACCCCACATCCCCTGTCCCTCAGCACATGCACGTAACGTCAATACGAAAAGCTGGTGTCTTTGGCCGGGGAGAGGGAGTATGCATCATCACTCGCATCAGAAAGGGTGACAGTGATAGTGCACGATGACCTCTACCTCGACCTCTTCTCTGCTGCCTTGCCAGAGCTAGTTCGCAACAACCGTTGTGCTGTCTCACCTCAACCTCTCCCTGCCCTCACCCACTCCCCTGGCAGGACAAGCTGGTCTCTCTTGCCGGAGAGAGCGAGTATGCATCATCACTGGCAACGGGGCCGGTGACAGTGATAGTGGACGAGGACCCCTACCTCGACCTCTTCTCCACTTCCTTAGCCCACAACAACGCCTCCCTCTCCCCTGCCTCAACCTCTCCCCTCGGAATGCCATCAGGACAAGCTAGTCTCTCTTGCCGGAGAGAGCGAGTACGCATCGTCACTGGCGTCGGGAAGGGTCACGGTGATAGTGGACGAGGACCCCTACCTCGACCTCTTCCCGTCTACCGTGACAGAGCCCTCTCCCCTGCTTCAACCACTCTTTCCCATGGCAGGACAAGCTGGTATCACTAGCAGGGGAGGGCGAGTATGCGTCATCGCTCGAATCAGGGCGGGTGACGGTGATAGTGGATGAGGACCCCTACCTCGACCTCTTCCCGTCTACCGTGACAGAGCCCTCTCCCCTGCTTCAACCACTCTTTCCCATGGCAGGACAAGCTGGTATCACTAGCAGGGGAGGGCGAGTATGCGTCATCGCTCGAATCAGGGCGGGTGACGGTGATAGTGGATGAGGACCCCTACCTCGACCTCTTCTCTGCTGGTTTCTGCGATGCCGTTCAGACAGCGCAACCCTTCTCCATCCTCAACCAAGCCTTTGTGGGTTCACTGTGGTGCACTGTGGTGGACTGTGGTGCACTGTGGTCGCATGTGTGCATGCTGGGAGTCTGTGCACGCACGCACGTGCATGTCCATTTGCATGTGTGTGTCTGTGCACGTGCATGCCGTGCACACGGAAAAGTTTTCTCGTGCCTGTTGCGACCGGCACCACATCACATCCCTATTTCATTCCTCGCCATGCTAAAGCGAGTTGCATTCTCCCCTTCCTCCCTTCGCTCCCGTGCCTCCTCTCCCTCCTCCCCTCACCACCGTTGACCCCCAAATCATACCCTCTTTCCTCACCCCCCCTCCCCACCCCGCACCCCCTGGCCCTCCCTCCCCTTCGCCCTTGCTTACCACCGTCACCCCCAGGCCTTCCCCAAGGGGTCACAGGGAGCTCGGACATCTCCCATATTTGAATCCCCTCTCCCCTTTCCCCTCTGCCCCGTCCCCCTTGAATCCCCTCTCCCCTTTCCCCTCTGCCCCGTCCCCCAAGGGGTCACAGGTGGGCGCGGACATCTCTCAGGCCATCCTCGACCTTCAGATGCAAGGAGAGTAGTGTCCCACCTTATCTGAGAGATGGCCGCTCCTCTCCTTTACTCCTCTCCTTTCTCCTCTCTCCCTCTCCTCTCACCACTACCATCACCCCCCAGGCATTCCCCAAGGGGTCGCAGGTGGGCGCGGACATCTCTCAGGCCATCCTCGACCTTCAGATGCAAGGGGAGCTGGAGCGACTCAAGGATCAGTACTTGCAGGTGGGTGCATGAGAAGAGTATGAGGATTCAGAGACACACACTTGTTACATACAGGTGCGTGTGAAAGAAGAACATGCTCTCAAGCCATCCTCGACCTTCAGATGAAGGGGGAGCTGGAGCGGCTCAAGGAGCAGTACTTGCAGGTGGGTGGGTGAGAGACGCACGTATGAGGATTCGCTCACTCACACAGACGCAGAGGTGACTGCACAAGTGACTCCTCTTCAGATGAAGGGGGAGCTGGAGCGGCTCAAGGAGCAGTACTTGCAGGTGGGTGCGTGATAGAAGCACGTATGAGGATTCGCTCACTCACACAGACGCAGAGGTGACTGCACAAGTGACTCCTCTTCAGATGAAGGGGGAGCTGGAGCGGCTCAAGGAGCAGTACTTGCAGGTGGGTGCGTGATAGAAGCACGTATGAGGATTCGCTCACTCACACAGTTGCAGAGATGACTTTTGAGGCGCCTCAAAAGCAGAAGTGACTCCTCTTTAAGCAGGGAAGCTGGAGCGGCTCAAGGATCAGTACTTGCAGAGGTGACTTTTGAGTTGACTCAAAGGTCGGCTCAAGGATCAGTACTTGCAGGTGGGTGTGAAAATCGCCCGAGTGGGTAAATTCGTCTTTTTGTTTTTCTCCTAAATCCTCGAGCGGCTGAAGGCGCAGAACTTGCAGGTGGGTGAAAGAGCCGACCACGCGGTTCTCGCAGACTCGGTACCAATTCGGCGGTGCTGACAACAGAGGTCAACATTCACAGGTCTTGCGGGTAGAGAGACGACTTGTGAGGCGCCTGCCTCAGGTCTTCAGCGCTGCTCAAAAGTCGTCGCTCTACCTGCAATTCGGCGGTGCTGACAACATTCACAGGTCTACCCGCAATTCGGCGGTGCTGACGGGCGGAGGCCAACATTCACAGGTCTTCAGTGCTGCTCATCCTCTTCCCCCTCCCCAACCCTCGCCCCCCACAGAAGGACAACATGTGCGTCGATGATCAGGTGGCCTCTGCCGTGCTCACGGAGGTCAACGTGCAGAAGTTCACAGCGCTGCTCATCCTCTACCTCGTCGTCTCGCTGCTCTGCTGTGTCTCCTATGTGGGGCTCCTCATCTACCGCGGTTACCGCTACCACCACCGGTACGCACCTGGTTACCGCTACCACCACCGGTATGACCTGGTTACCGCTACCACCACCGGTACGCACCTGGTTACCGCTACCACCACCAGTACGCACCTGGTTACCGCTACCACCACCGGCACGCACCTGGTTACCGGTACGGCCTGCCCCACTGTGGTTACAATTACGTTACAAAAAGCCCCCTGTCTGCACCCAATAAGCCTGTCCAGCATTCTGTTTTGAGTCGCCTATGTGGGGCTCCTCATCTACCGCGGTTACCGCTACCACCGCCGGTACGCACCTGGTTACCACTACCACCACCGGTACGCACCTGGTTACCACTACCACCACCGGTACGCACTTGGTTAAAGCTGCATTACAATAAACCCTCTATGTACACCCAATAAGCCCTCTGCTGTGTCTCCTATGTGGGGCTCCTCATCTACCGCGGTTACCGCTACCACCACCGGTACGCACCTGCCTCACTGTGGTGACAGTTACATTATAAGCCCTCTTACGCACTTAGTTCACCCAATAAGCGAGTCCAGCCGTCTTCCCTGCATTGCCTATGTGGGCCTACCGCGGTTACCTTTACCACCGGTACAACCTGGTTACCACCAACAGGTACGATCTGGTTACCGCTACCACCGATACGACCTGCCCCACTGTGGTTACAGTTATGTTACAATAAGCCCTCTATGAACACCATATGAGCCTGTCAAGCATTCTGTTTCGAGTTGAGTTGTCTATGTGGGATTGCTCATCTGAAGGAATATATGAGAGAGAGCGTAGCGATAGCGAGAGAGTTTTTGCTATGAACGATGTTGCGCCAGCAACTCGGTAGAGTTTCAGTTGTGCTCATGTTCAAACGACTAAGTGAGAATCCAAGTAGCAATTGTAATAGCACTATCAATACAAAGACAAACAAACAAGATTGATATAGGCTACGGGAGAGTTGCACAAACGTTGCGTGGCGCTTTGGTGTAACCCAACCCCACGAAAGTGATGTGTGGGTGAGCAAACGCGCCTCGCCAAATTCCCAACCCAACTCAGCAGGGAAGTCAATGCCGAGCTCGCCAATTCTCCCAGCACAGCTAGAAATGGCGAGACTCACCACGAACTACTCACAACTTCCCTAGACTAGCACACACTTCCCAAGAAGCATAGCCACGACTTCCTTAGGTAGCACCACCCCAGCAGTGACTTCATTAGAGTTGCCGTAGTCGCTCGTCGTCAACACGCAACCATCGTGAAGTCATAGGGTCGGTGCTGGGTAGCTCATAGTCTTGGTCGTCAGTCGCCAGCCTGCCCAGTCAAGTCGATCGCGAGGGCCCTTGCTGTCGTAGGGCCCTCTAACACTCCCCTGCCATACTACAGCAAGGCCCTTTATAATCACAGGGCATGCATACACACATACACACCAAAACAAAGGGACACACACACAAATGAAGCACTCTCAAAGTGCAAACACACACCGCACCAGCCATGGATAGGCCATGGCACCATACCCATCATGGAGTGCCTAGGTCTCACTCCCCTCGCTCGAGAGCCTCACCTGCCCCACAGCCTCGAAGCAACGGCTGAAGGCGGGGAAATGCAACGCCTTTGTAAGGTAGTCAGCAGGCTGCTCGCTCGTAGGGATGTATTGCAGCTGCAGCTTCCTGCGCTTGACCATGTGCTGCAGCCACATGTGGCGACGCTCCATGTGCTTGAGGCTCCCCTTGAGCCCCATGCCACCTACCACTGAAATGGCGGAGGAGTTGTCCACAAAGAGGGTAGTGGGCTCCTCACTCCTTAGCAGTTGAAACTCTGCCAGCAAGAAGCGCAGCCTGCGCGCCTCCTTCCCAGCCTCCACAGCAGCAACGTACTCAGACTCAGTGGAGGAGAGGGTGGCGCAACGAATCCTTTGACTCGCCCAAGAGACAGCAGCACCCCCGAGCACGAAGACATAGCCACCAGTGCTGGTCCTGTTCTGCTTGTCCCCTGCATCATCGGCATCGGCGTAGCACACCAGGTCCAAGGACTCCGGCCCACCACCAAACTCCAGCGCCACATCCCTGCTCCCCACCAAGTACGCCAAGCACCGGTCCAACTCCTTCCAGCGCTGATCACTCCGCACAGTCTGGCCCGACCCCAGCTTGCTGCAGGCGAACGAGATGTCGGGACGGGTGGTACAGGCTGCGAACTGCAAGGATCCCACCTTCTGCCTGTGCTCCTCCTCCTGGCGAGACTGCCATCCCACATCCTCGAAGGTCTGCACACTGAAAGGGTCAGAGGAAAGAGGGGTGCGAGGCACTCGCAGCGGCTGCTCCCCGTCGAAGAAGCGCCTATGGACCTTGTCCACATAGGCTCCCTGGTGCAGCCACAGCCTCCTCGTAGGCCTGTCCCGGATCAGCTGCAACCCCAAATACTTCTCCACAGGGCTAATCTCCCGCAGCTGAAACGCACTCTGCAGCAGGTCACGCAGCTCCCCCAGCATGCTCTGACTGCGGCTGGCAGCAAGCAAGTCATCCACATACACTAGCAGCCAGCACATCTCCCCCTCAGCATCACTCTTGAAGTACAGAGCCTCATCCACCTGGCTCTTCTTCCATCCAGCCCCAAGCAGCACCCCATCCAAGGCCTCATACCATAGCATCGGGCTCTGCTTGAGCCCATACAGACTCTTCACCAACTTACAGACACGAGGAGTCCCATCCTCGTAGTAGCTCGGCTGCTCCATGTAAAGGTCTCGGTCCAGCACGCCATGGAGGAACGCGTTCTTCACATCCAGCTGCATCAGGTCCAAATCAAGTGCAGCTGCAATCGCCAGAAGCACACGCGCCGTCACATAACTTCCCACAGGGGCGTACGTCTCCTCATAGTCCACCCCTGCCACCTGTGTGAACCCCTTCACCACCAGCCTCACCTTCTCACGCTCCACTATCCCATCCGGTCGGAACTTGGTGTTCAAAATCCAGCGGTTCTTCATCACATTCACCCCTGGCGGACGCGGAACCATCTCCCACGTCCCCTGCTCAATCAAGCTCCGCATCTCCTCATCCATCGCCTCCTTCACCTTGTCTCCCTTCCAGCAGCCCAAGGCCTCCTTCACTGTCATTTTCGCTATGTCCCACTGCCTCTCAGGGTCGGCTGCCACGTCCGGGTCCAGGTCAGTCCACTCCTCGTCCTCCTCCTCGTCATCCAAACCCGCCGGCTCAATCACTACTGCCCAAGCATACTTAACTGGCGGGACACCACGAGTGATGCGAGTGGAGCGACGCAGCTGCGGTGCAGTGATCGTCCCAGAAACCAACACACGACCACCATCTCTAATTCCCCACATCTCCTGCTCCCCTGTCTGTGGCTCCCCTGTCTGCTGCTCCCCAATCTGCTCCTCCCCTATCTGCTGCTCCCCAATCTGCTGCTCCCCTGTCTGCTGCTCCCCTGTCTCCTGCCCCCCACTCTGCTGCACTCCATCCATGCTGCTCTCGTCCTGCAGCTGCTCGGTCTCAAGGTGCTGCCCGTCGGTGATCATCACAGACGGCGGCACCACTGTCCCCCCCTCACCAACGGGCAGCGCCGTGGAAGACGAAGAGGAGGGTGGGGCAGGTGCAGGAGGGATGGAGGGTGGAAGAGGAGAGGGAATAACAGGAGGAGGGGTAGCCAAGGGGGGTGAGGATGGAGGAGGCTCGGTAGGAGGAACCACACGAGGGTACACTGTAGGAGGAGGTGGGGTGGGGACTGAGGTAGGGACATAGGGCATAGCAGGAGGTGCGACCATTTCCTCCTCCTCCACCTCCTCCTCAAGAGTGCCTAGGAAGAGTGAAGGAAGGGGCTCATAGGGCATCGGACGCCCCCCATGCTCCTGCTGATGCCAAGCCTTCCATCCTGCCAAGGACATGGTCTCATAGAAAACTGCTTCCACAGTGGTGATAAGGCGGTTGGACTCCAAGTCCAGCACGTGCCAGCCGTTGCTCGCTGCTGACACCCCCAAGTGCAACCCCCAACGAGCCTTAGGCGCCAGCTTCCCCCCGCGCTGCGACTGCGGCACCATGTACTGCACCATGCAGCCCCAAACACGCACCATACTGACATCGGGTTTGCGTCGGAAGGCGAGCTCGTACGGCGTCACACCAGAGGGCAGCGAGGCGTGCTCCACGCGGTTGCGCACCCAGACGGCCTGCGCCAGCGCCAGGTGCCACCAGTGATGCTGCACACCCATGTGCAGCAACATCGTCCGCACCGCCTCCACAATGCTGCGCATCTCCCTCTCGGCCATCCCGTTCTGCTCCGGCGTGTACGAGCACGTGAGATCGTGGATGATCCCCTTCTCGTCGAGGAAGAGCGTGAAGTCGTGTCCCAGGAACTCGCCACCCCGATCAGTGCGCAGCGCCTTCACTGTGGTCTTACATTGCCGCTCTGCCATCGGGAGCCACTTCTGGAACGCTGCCAGTGCATCACTCTTCTTGGCCAAAGGGTAGGCCCAGACGTACCGCGTCTTGCGATCCTTTATCACCAAAAAGTAGCGGCTGCCGTCCTTAGCTGCTTCACGAAAAGGGCCACACAGGTCAGCATGCACCACCCCAAGTAGCTCATCCTCCTCCTCTCCCACAGAAGGAAAGGTATGACGGGTGATCTTCCCCCCAACACAGGAGACGCATGGCATGCCTGACTTGCCCCCCTTCTCTAACTCCAAGCCTGTCACTGACCCGTGAGCTGCAGTACGCTCTATGGCGTCAATACCGACGTGTGCAAGGCGCGCATGCCACTTGTCCACCTTAGATCGCACACCGGTCGCCAGAGTGCGCAGGGCCACCGTTTCACCCTCCTGCTGCTGCGTCGAGCATGGCTGGAAGTTCGTGCAGATAACGCGTCCCTTGAACTCCGCACGACCAAGGAGCGACCCATCTGGCGCGCGCAGCAGAGTCACGTCCCCGGCATCCAGCAGCTGCACGCCACTATCACGCAGCTGCCCAGCAGAAAGAAGACTCGCCTGCACTCCAGGCACGTACAGCACGTCCGGCACCAAGACACGCCTGCCCCCGTCTCCAAGGAGAGCGACTGTGCCTCGCCCCTGCACCTCCTGAGGAGCGCCGTTGAAGCCGATAACCTGTTTGATACCGCCGCCGCTGCTCATCTCCACAAAGGCAGAGCGATCTCCCATGAGATGGTGGGAGCATCCGCTATCAAGTAGCACGACGCTCGGGTTCGCCTTCACAGCAGCTGCAACAGCCTGTAAGCCCTCCCCGGCCTCAGGCTCCAGCATGACGGGAGGAGGATGCTCTACAACGGGCTTCACCATCGCACATGATGACTGCCCGCTCCCCTTAGAGCCATCACCCCCCTTGCCACCCGCGCTGCTGCCTCCAGAACCCTCTCCACCCTTGTCTGCCTCCTTATCCGCCCGCTGCCGACAGTACTTCGCGATATGCCCCGGCTGCCCACACACGTAGCAATTCCCCTTGAACTCTCCTTTCCCCCCCTTGGACTGGCCATCCTTAGCCCCTTTCCACTTCTCCCCTCCCCCACCAACCCCACCCCCATGCTTAGGCTGCTGCTGCTGTGCCGTAGTGGGAGGGGAAGGGGATGAAGTCTGCTGAAAATAGGGCTTACCCTTCTTGGTAAACACTTGGTTAGCCTGGGGAAGAAAGTGGTCCTTCCGTCCCTCCGCCGCCAGCGTACACTCCTCCTCGATGATATAGCTAGCGAGGGTGTCTTCGTCCAGCTCCTTGCGCACCTGCGGCAGTTTCAGCATCCTGCGTAAGAGGTTATACTGCTGCGGCAACCCCTTCACGACGTGAGTAATGTACGACGCCTGTGAGTAATCTACGCCGGCCATCCTCAGGTTCACTAGGATCTGCTGCGCACGGTTGCAATAGGACGTGGCGGACTCGTGCTCTCCCATATCGAGGTTAGTGAGCGCCTGTTCTAACTGACCTATGTACAGGTCGTCCTTCGCCATATACGTGCGCATGATAAGCCGGCATCTACCTTGAAGCGACACGCCTTAAGGGCGATCTGTACTGTGGGAGAGCAACAACGGGAAATGGTGGTGAACGTCAGCAACTGCATCGCGCGGAACTGAGAGAGATGCGCAAGTGCACGCGTTGGTGGAATGGGGGTGGTGCCATCTATGAATCGCTTTAGCTGGGCGATCTCAAGCTGCGGCTCGATCGATTCTGTCCACGTCGACAGGTCGTGACGTCCTTCTAACGGTCTAGGGACAACGATCTTGTCTGGAGTGAATTTGAAGTAGCCATAGTTTGGGGCTATTCCCTCGTCCCTCGACATCGATCCCATCGGGGTAACGCCCGGCATAGCCTCACTATCGTACTCCTCCGCATTCCCTCCTCCAGCAACGCTCCGTCTTCCTACATTCGCATGCTCTCGTGACGCCGCCGCTCGATGAACGCGCTCCTGTACACCGCCGACGCTAGCCGTACTAAACCGAGTCGGTCCTCGCAGGACCCCACGCGACATCAACCTATCAAGCTCCTCGTCATCGCTATTTCCGCCATCGACAGCCATATCCCACGCACTAGTACCTCCCGCAGCTTGCTCAACATTCTCTACACGTGGCGAGGGATGATCGCGGCGCTGACGAGCGCGTAATCCCTCCTGCATGAGCTCGTACTCGATATCACTAAGCTCACCACGAGAATGACGGGCTACGAGATCCTCCTCTAATGCGCGAATATTGTCGGCCTCCACGTTCGCCTCCTCCGTACTCATCCTCTACGACGCCTCTAAGAGGTGCCACAAATTAAAATAAATTGACCTTTCCTTAAATCCCTCGTCTCGGGGTCACCTCACAAGGGTCCTCAGACGAGTGGTAATGAATTACCAAACGCCCTATCCTTGGGTCCGAGAGCGTAACTGGAGGGAAATTAAGAGAGGTTCAACTTAAATTAATGAGCGCCCTTCACTAACGCCGCACGCCAAGGCGAGTATACTAACGAAAGCTATGCGTGTTCGTTCCACGCTCACCGCACCATGAAGGAATATATTAGAGAGAGCGTAGCGATAGTGAGAGAGTTTCTTCTATGAACGATGTTGCGCCAGCAACTCCGTAGAGTTTCAGTTGTGCTCATGTTCAAACGACTAAGTGAAAATCCAAGTAGCAATTGTAATAGCACTATCAATACAAAGACAAACAAACAAGATTGATATAGGCTACGGGAGAGTTGCACAAACGTTGCGTGGCGCTTCGGTGTAACCCAACCCCACGAAAGTGATGTGTGGGTGAGCGAACGCGCCTCGCCAAATTCCCAACCCAACTCAGCAGGGAAGTCAATGCCGAGCTCGCCAATTCTCCCAGCACAGCTAGAAATGGCGAGACTCACCACGAACTACTCACAACTTCCCTAGACTAGCACACACTTCCCAAGAAGCATAGCCACGACTTCCTTAGGTAGCACCACCCCAGCAGTGACTTCATTAGAGTTGCCATAGTCGCTCGTCGTCAACACGCAACCATCGTGAAGTCATAGGGTCGGTGCTGGGTAGCTCATAGTCTTGGTCGTCAGTCGCCAGCCTGCCCAGTCAAGTCGATCGCGAGGGCCCTTGCTGTCGTAGGGCCCTCTAACATCATCTACCACGGTTACTGTTACCACCGGTACGACCTGGTTAACGTTACAACCTGTACGAGCTGGTTACCGTTACAACCGGTAGGCCTGTCCAGCAATTCTGTTTCGAAGTCACCTCACAACTTTTTTCATCTGCCCGTTCTCAGGCTCAGCCACCGTGTGGTTACCGTGTGGTTACCGCAGTAGCCGTTGCATCTGAGTAGCCTCTCCTTCATTGTTTGCTGCTACCCAGACAGAGAACCTTACATAAACCTAAAACGCTAACATCGCATAAACCTTAGAGATCCTAAGAATTAGAACCTCTCTTCTCTTCTCTGATCTGATCTGATGTGGTGTTTGAGAATTCTCAATTGTGCAGCAGTGCCCTGCCCACCTCTCTCACTCCTTGCCCTAGCCTTCGTTTCACTCCCCCCCCTCTACTACCTCCACCCCTTGCCTATTCCCCGATATCTTCGCAACACGTGTGCGTGCTTGTGCTTGTGCTTGTGCCTGTGCTGCAAACGATGCTGGTATGGCAACGCTGCAGGGAAGCACGCGAGGAGGAGGAGGATGAGGAGGAGGAGGAGGACGAGGAGGCGGACGATCAGCAGCTGCTGCGGCAGCAGCGGTGTTTCGGCCTGTCTTGTGGCCCGGGCGGGAATTCTGGTGCAAGCTACAAAGCCGGCAAAGGCGGCAAGAATCGTCATGACGTTGAAGATAGTGGTAGAGGTGGTATTGATGGAGGCAGGGTTGATGATGATGGTAGAGCAAGGGTGGGGAACGAGGGTGCAGGCTCTATTGTGGGTTATGTTGATGCTGGTTGCTCCTCCAATCCCTTCTCATGTGTTCCCGCCTCTTCAACCAGCTTCCACGGCAGCAGCAGCAGCAGTAGCAGCAGCACCATCACAACCACCACCGCCGCCGCTGCTACAGCCCAGACCGTTAAGGGTAGTGCTGGTTGCCTGCCTCGTTTCGAACCACTTCCCACCGCATCCCACCGCGCCTCTTCTTCTTCCACCGATCCATCTCCTACTCCTGGCAATGGCACTTCTAGCTCTTCAGGCCGAGCAGTCTCTAGTGTCGCTGCGTCGTGCCTAGGGGGCCCTGTCTGGCCCAATCCGTCCAATGCAATGGGCATTGCACTGGCCCGTGCAGCGTGCGTGGGAATGTCAGGCAAGGGCAGCAAGCGGCCGGATCCGTCCATTGTTCCGTCCATTGCTCTGGCCCGTGCAGCGTGCGTGGGAATGTCAGGCAAGGGCAGCAAGCGGCCGGAGGTGCTAGAGCCACTGCTGGAGGAAGGCAGTGAGGAGGGTGGGGGTAGAGGGGAGGAGGTTGGGGAGGAGGAAGGGGATGAGGAGAGTTGGGTGCGTGGTGCGTATAAGGATGGAGAGTTGGGTGGTGGTGCGTATAAGGATGGGGAGTTGGGTGGTGGTGCGTATATGGATGCTGCTGCTTCTGCTGCTGCTGCTGCTGCTGTGGTTGAAGGGGATGCTGTGTTTGATTCTGGATCTGGTGCTGCTGCTTCTGTTTCTGATGCTGCTGCTGCTCCTGATGCTGCTGCTGCTGCTTTGGGAGAAGTAGTAGCAGGAGGGGCAGTGGCCGCAGGAGCGGTACCATCAGAGCTGCATGTATCCATGTCTATAGGCAGTGGTGGAGAAGCAGCAGCAGAAAGAGAAGCAACAGGGGAAGGAGAAGCAAACACAGAAGCAGACGCAAAGGCAGAAGCAGAAGCAGAAACAGCTGGATCAGCCATTACTACCACCGCTGCTACTGCTGCTGCGGCTGCCACTGCTGATGCCACTGCTGCTGCTGCTTCTGCTGCCGCTACTGCCATTGCTTCTGCTGCTGCTACTGCTGCCACCACTGCCCCTGCTGCAGAAAGTGTCGTCTCTGCCAATGCACCTACAACTGAGCATGGGACATCCAGGTTACTTCCAGGTTTACCCTCCATAGATCTGGGGTCAACCAGTATCCTATCCTCTGCGGGTGCATCCCTCGACGTAGCAGCCAATCTTCTCCCTAAACTCACCAAATCCACTAACATCACGAGGGATTCACCTTCTACTGATGTGCCTCCAGTGATTCCTCTACCGGGTGGTATGCCAAATGTGGGAAGCATGGGAAGCATGGGAAGCATGGGCAGCATGGGCAGCATGGGCAGCGGCCTTTCTGGCTTGGCGTCTGTTCAGAGAGTGATGGGGTCATCGCAGGAGGGTGTTTTCTCCATGCAGCGCACCATGGATGATCTGATGGATAAATTCAACAAGGTGAGCAGAAAGGTGAATAGGTTCAGCAAGGTGAGCATGCGTTTGTCTCACTTTTGAGAACTCTTGAAGGTATCCATGCAGCGGACATGGACGATCTGATGGATAAATTCAACAAGGTGAGAAGAAAGGGGGAGAAATTCAACAAGGTGAGAAGAAAGGGGGAGAAATTCAACAAGGTGAGAAGAAAGGGGGAGAAATTCAACAAGGTGAGACTTGAGACCAGTGAGTGGGCTTCCTGGCTTGGCATCTATTCAGAGAGCGATAGAGTCATCGCAGGAGGTAGTGTCCTCCATGCAGCGCACCGTGGACGATCTGATGGATAAATTCAACAAGGTGAGTCCTCTGAGTGGTTATTTGGCCGACTCAAGCCAAGGTGAGGTCAGAAATTGGTGGGTGCTGGAGGTTGAGCTGGTTCTAAGTTTCCAAGGGTGTGGCCTCCATGCAGCGCACCGTGGAGGATCAGTGTTTAGTAAGGTGAGCATGTTTTTGCGTCACTTTTGAGAGAACTTTCAAAGGTATCCATGCAGAGGGCAATGGAATGGATGATCTGATGGATAAATTCCACAAGGTGAGCACCTGCGATCTTCCCTCCTCCTCTTCCATCCGCACTCTCCTCGTCTCCCCTCTCCCTTCCCCTTACCTCCCCTCCCCGCCCTTCCCCTCCCCTCGTTTCTGCTCTTCCTTTTCCTCTCTCCATTGTGGTCGTGTGCAAAGCCTCAGGAGCGATCTGCCAGTATGTTTTGTGCCAGTAATCTGTGTGCATGGAGTCAGAATTTGTTTTTCCAAAGGTCCTAAATCATCCTCTCCCCACTTCCCTCCCACCCGGCCAACATCCAGGGGCAGCAAGCCTACTCGGCCGCTTCCCTTATGAGGCGCCTCAAAAGTCCACTCTCCCTCTCCTCTCTGGCTGCTTGCAGGGCAGGGAGTGGAGATGTGTACTTAGACCGTGCAAAACTATGGTTGGCGTGTGCGAAGTTAATCATTAAAGCCCAAAACTTCCACTCCCATCTCCCCCACTTGACTGCGTGCAGGGCAAGGAGTGGAGCCGTGAGCGCTACCTGGATCCCAAGAACATCCAGAGGCAGCAAGCCTACTCCGCTTCTTCCCTTTTGAGGGGGCCTGAAAGTCCAGTTTTCCTCCCTACTTCCCCCCCCCCCTTCCTGCAGGGCAGGGAGTGGAGCCGCGAACGCTACCTGGATCCCAAGAACATTCAGAGGCAGCAAGCCTACTCCGCTGCCTCCCTCCTCCCCGACTTCTCTTCCCCGGGCAACTCTGCAAGAAAACGCTCCAGCCCATCCGCACGCGGCTCTGGTGTCTTTGCGTCAGCCGGCTCTGCGTCTGCCTCTGCGTCTGCTGCTGGGTCTCCTGTGTCTGCCTCGCCGTCCCAGCGGCACCGGCGCCGCCCCAGCTGGGGATCGGTGCAAGGCTCGCCTGCTTTCGCTTCCAACCGCCCCTCCACTGCCTCTGGATCCTTTTTCCATGCTTCCAGTGCCGGCGGTGCTTCCAGTGCCGGCAGTGCTGGCAGTGCTGGCAGTGCTGCCGATGCAGATGCTTCTCCCGCCGCTGCCTCTCCTTCCGGTCGACCTGATTCCTCCTCAGGTCTTGGTCTCACAAATGAACCTCCTCCTGCACGCCCTTCCACTGCTTCAGGCATCTTCTTCCACTCCTCCAGTGCTGGTGAATCTCCTGCTGCTGGGGTAACCAGTGCTAGTGGTAATGGTTCCCCCAGTGCACCCAACTTCCACCACACTGCTAGTTCTGGCAGCAGCATGTATCCTGCTGGAAGCTTCGGTGGTTCTGACATTGCAGGTCATGCAGAGATGCCTAAGCGAGCAAGGCGGACAAGCAGCATCTTGCCTTCTTCGTTGTCGCTACCTGCCGAGCCTTGCCCACCAGAAGCTGAGACTGATGCACTGGAAGACGCAGCAACACAGCTGGGGGGACCAAAGAGGAGAAGCATCACGTCTGGCATGGAGCAGCAATCAGACTCTCCGACTCACTCACCCCTGATACTCTCGCAATCTCATCGTGAGGAGCAACAGCAGCCACAACAACAGCAGCAGCAGCACCTGCTGCTGCGGCAACAGCTGCCGCCAAAGGCATCGTATGGACGGCTCAACTCTCCACTCGTCAACTCTCAGCCAATGTCAAGCCAGGCCAGGCAGGAGCAGCAGCAACAGCAGCAGAGGAACCAGGCTGTCAGGCTGCGTAAGGCGGCTCGTGTTCATCGCCGGAGTGCATCGTATGACGTCACACAGAAGCCAGGAACCAGGTGAGTCTATCGGAATGCTTTATTCTTTAGGCGCCTCAAAGATAGACTCGTGTTCATCGCCGGAGTGCATCGTATGATGTTACGCAGCCAGGTACAAGGTGCTGCTGGCTCGCCTAGATCTGTAAGTCGAATGCAATTCATCCAACCTCCATGTGTTGCTTTCATATCCGTTTTTTCTGCATGTTTTCTGTTGTGTTGTATGTTGTTCAAATCGCAGCATTAAGGAGGAAGTGGGGAAGAAGTTGGCAAACCTTGACAAGGTTCTGTCACCGGGATCCACATTTGATGCGGATGCGAGCGTCGAGCCCAAGTACAAAGGGGTTCAACGAGTTCGTGCCTTCCGGCTTTCTAAGTCACCTCAGCCTAATCCCTGAGTCTCTATAAGAGTTTTTAATGTATAGAAGCCTCTTCATATGTGTGTGCATGCATGCACATTGCTGTTTCATTGCGAATACTAATGTGCAGCGCTCCTGCTACAGTATTGGTATAGCCATTGGGGCTGAGATGAGGGGATGGGGTGCGGTACAAAGTTTAGGCTTTTGATGAGCAACGCTACTCGTTTCCAGTAACAGTCTCCTTGTGGGGCTAATGGCTAAGCTGGAAATAGTTCCACCACAGTCTCTTTGTGGGCCCAATAAGCTGGAAATAATCCCGCAAGGAAAATACTGATAGAACAAGGTTGACAGACGGCCCCTGGGTTGCCAATACAGTACAGTGTTTCCCCCTGATACCAAAGGTCCCTCCCCTGACTCTTTCATCCACATCCATCCTGCCCTGCTCATCCATGCCAAAATGGATACCATAACAAAACAAGCAGGTACCGTACCATATGTACCGTATAAATGGAAAGATCCCATTTACCTGTATCCTAGAACTTTCTATGCGACCTCGCTGAGTCAATATTCTAAGCGTACTTCTGGATCATCTTAAGGAGCTTCTCCTGGCTCGCTCCGACAAGTTCATCTACCTTCTCGCCTCCCTTGAACACGTGGAAGGTCGGCATGGCGGAAACTTTGCACTCCGCTGCCACGTTCTGCCATGTTCGGAAGCAGAAACTCTTTAGCGATCTCGAACTCACAGATACATTTGATAAGACAGAACAAAAAAGGCTTGACGGAGTGACAGGTAGGGGGGATCACGGGGAGCACGAACCGGGAGAGCGTCGACGTCCACTTTGAGGAAGATTATTGATGGAAACTGAGCAGCGTATTCGGCAAAAATCGGACCGATCAACCGGCATGGGCCACACCAAGTCGCGGTGAAATCCACGATCACCTGAATGATCAAGGAGCACCAAGGACGGAAACTTGATCACCCGATGACTACCGATTGTAGGGTAACACATTACGGACTCTTGCACCAATACCCGAGCGCATAACGTAACGACAGAATCAGCAGCAGAAGCGACGATTAGAGCTAGATCGACCCTCACCACTTTGCCGTCATTCTTGGCCCCGGAAAGGGTTGACCTCCACTGCTCCTCAGAGCTGACAACGACAACTCCAGCCATAGATCGTCGCGAGTGGGCACCGAAACTATCGAAAACGAGCGATGAAAGGCCTGGCGTGCCTGGTGGCTATGCGGAATACTGAGAAACTGTACTGGTGATTTATTTTCAGTGGCAAAATTCGATGTTCTATGTACCTGAACATTCACGCTATTTTTCATCCCATACTTGGACTGGCCTTAGTCCTGACGTTGCCCACACGTCACAGCGGGAAGGCACTCTGCGTACGCATCTGACTCTGGATACGGACCGACGGCGTCGATTGCTTTCCTTCCACTTTCGTTTGCGATTGACCCAGTATCGATGCGGACCGACGGCTTCGATTGCTTTCCTTCCATTCACTTTTGTGATTGACCCAGTATTCCTTACGATCTCTGGTTTGTTGGTCTGACATTTGCTTACTCATCCTACGGTAACCCTACTTCATTTTATCTCTTGTTTTTTTGCACTCACCCTACCTATCTTTCTAATGCCTTTCTTTGACATGGAAAACTATAAATTTCATAAATTATCTCCTTTAAACGGTTGATCTAGTTTCAATCTTGATATTTGAATCTTGATTTCGATTGTATGAAACGCAACTATCATGTCAAAATCTGCTTATAACATTTCTTGTACTTTTACTTCATATATCTAAACTGCTTCGAAGCAGACGTATCTAAAACTGTAACAGATTGTACCCGGATTTTCCCGTCCCCCACCCAACCTGGTTGGCTTTGAATCCTGACATGGCAGGGTGGCTTGAAACGAAAGGAGAGGCCCGGCGTGACCTACGTGACCCGAACGATGAGAACCGAGTGAGCTGGTTCGGACGGGCGCGATAGTTCTGGTCCGGGCGTCATGGCTTGTCCACGACCAACGTCCTGAAGTTTGACTTGTCGTCCCGTTGCCCTAGGACACTTAGATAAGGTTTCGCACGCATTCGCAGCCACTCTGTGCAGCGGTGGTTCTGGGGAAAAGCGCGGTGCATAACCTCAAGCATCAAGATTTCGAGTTTTGAACTGCCAATCATGGTTGCCACTCTGTCGCCAAGAAGACGAGAAATGGATTCTTCTGCAAATTGTTTTTGCTCCACTTGCTGTGCTGGAATGGAGGCGGAGTTTCCGTGTCCGGGAGGGGGTAAAGGGGGCGAGGGCTTCGGAGCAGGGGCGGGGGGGGATGCGGAAGAGGGGAATGGAAGACGCCAATGTGAAACACGGGTGGTTACCCAGCGTTCCTTGAACACAGCTATCCAGTTTAATACTTGTGGTCAATGCGCCTGGGTTTTTCATCCAGCGATGTGAATAAGTGTATCCACGTCTTTCAATGCAGTTCTCGCATGATGTGACAAACTTCAGCTCAAAAAACAAAAGGGTGGTTCAGAACAAAAAATAGGTGGGACATGAGAAGAGACGAGCGACAGAGGGCCCACCCACCGCCCCCCAAGCAAGCAGAGGAGCAGCACCAATAAACCGCAGCAATTACAGCACTAAATTGCAGGGTGGTGGGGTGGGGGGGACTAGGCTGGGCTAGCAGCTGTACAATTTCCCCTCCAGCCTTTTAGATCAATTTTGGACTCACCTGTTTCCAGCATCGTCTATCACCTTCGACTCATCTCGCGTGCAAGGTGGTTTAGGTTTCTCGGAATCGGGCTGGCTATTTCTAAAGGACCTACACATCCATGGCACATAGACCGGATTGATGTTATTTCACGATTAGGTTTTCCTCTTCGCGATATCTGAATTCGTAAGTGTGGGGATTTGTAATTTGCATCCGCGACTATACTCACATCACATCCGCCTTATTTAGACCCACGCTGATTATTTTCATTACCCTATGTTTCAGGTGCTGTCACGTCAACATGATACGCTTAATATTTGTAGGAGCCGCGATATTTCTGGTCAGCTGGTTGGTAACATGGCTTTACCCTCTGGTGGCTTACTGGCGACGCGGAAACAAGTTTCCAGGGCCCAAGTGTCAGTCATTTTGGGGGAATTTAAAGGAGATTCAGGACGCTGGCGGCATGAGTGGAATGAAAAGTAAGCTCTTCTGGTTCTTCCCTCCTTTCCCTTCTAAATTTGAGACGTTTCAAAGCTTTCCTGCTTCCCTTCTCCCCTCCCGCAGCCGTATGGCTTCAACCCCATCTCTTCCGTTCCCACTTATGGATTTTCTTGGAGCGAGCCCTGAACCGGTGCTCTGTACTGCTCTGCTAGAGAGAGCGGAGATTAAACATTTACGGAGTTCTCCGCATCTTTGTCTAGATAATAAAACATTTTGAGCTGACTTTATATTTGCTGGTCGCAGATTTTCTCGCCGCTACACACGCCGAACAAGTCAACTCACAACGTCTTCCCCCTTTCCCTCACCCCCCCTCCCCCCCTCTCCCCCCTCCCCCCCTCCCCCCTCCCCCCTCCCCCCCTCCCCCCCTCCCCACCCGTCCTCACTCTCTCTCGCTCTCTCTTGCGTGCGCGCGCCTCGCGCGACTTGAATCGTGGTTTGCAGATGTTCTCGCCGCCATGCACGCTAAGTACGGCCCGGTCGTGCGCCTTTGGCTGAACCCCGTGAGGTTGCTTATATCGGTGGAGGATCCGCAGCAGGTTCGCAACGTGCTCATGCACGCGCGCGAGCGGTCGCCGTTGTACTGCCGCGTGATTGAAGCGTGTCTCGGGAAGAACTCGGCTTGCTTTTCCACCTTCATTCAGGTAAGCTTCCCCCGAAGCGCTTCTTGAGACGTCTCAAAAATCAACGTGCTCATGCACGCGCGCGAGCGGTCGCCGTTGTACTGCCGCGTGATTGAAGCATGTCTTGGGAAGAACTCGGCGTGTTTCTCCACCTTCATTCAGGTAAGCAAGCTCCCCCCGAAGCGGTTTTTGAGACTTCTCAAAAATCAACGTGCTCATGCACGCACGCACGCGAGCTGTCGCCGTTGTCGTACTGCCGCGTGGTTGCTTCTCCACCTTCATTCAGGCAAGTTTTGCGAAACTTCCCGTCAGTCAGGAACCGCTACTTTTGTCTTGTTCTATTTTTCTGTGAGTTTTTTTTTTTTTTTTTTTTTTTTGCAGTGATTATTTTTTCCTGTAGCCTGCCCTAATTTTGGGAGTTCAGAGACACTTATTCAATGACGCTGCTCTGTGATACGCAGCCGCGGCCCCGCCCTGCGGCGGACGCACTTCCCCTCTCCTCAATGCGCCTCCTCATTCCCTCGCCTGATTCAATCTGCCTCCAGCCCCGTGCGCGGCGGTCGTTCCTGGACTACCACTGCCACACGACGCTCAAGTTCCAGGTGCACGAGGATGATCCACAAGCCGCCCTGTCTTACACGCCCATTTCACCCCTACTCTTCCCCCCTCGCCTTCTCTCCCCCCTTGCTTCCAGCCCCGTGCCCGTCGCTCATTCCTGGACTACCACTGCCGCACGACGCTCAAGTTCCAGGTGCACGAGGTGGCGTGCCGCGTGGCTGACGTCACCGCGCGCGAGTGGGGCGCTCTCTCCGCGTCTGGCGGCGAGCTGGACGTGACGCAGGCGTGCAAAGACATGGTGGTGGGCGTTCTAGGAGGCTCCTTATTCGGCCCAGCGTTCCCCGACTCGGACCTAAAGGACCGCGTTGCTGGGGACTTGGAGTTTTTCGCGCACTCGGTGCAGGATTTCGCGAGCTTTAGCTATCTTCCGGTGTGGCTGCCAGCGTACAAGAAGCTTATGGGTGTAGCGGAGGATTATAGGGGGGCGATTCACCAGCTTGTATCGGGTACGTTTGCCAAGGACGTGAAACAGCAGAGGAAGGGGCATGGTGAGGGGTCTGGGGAAGGAGGGGCAGGAGAAGCTGGTAGTGGCAGCGGTGGTGGGGAGGGCAAGGGCTCAGAGGCTCATACTACACAGGAGCAACAGCAGGAGCAACAGCGGGAGCAACAGCGGGAGCAACATCAGAAGACACCGCAGCAGGAACAGGAGCAGCAGCAGCACCAGCAGCCACAGCTGTTAAGGGAGAGTTTCCTCTCTGCAATGCTAGCAGAGCGCTCCGCTTTAGGCCAACCCGTTTACACACAGGAGATCGCTCAAACAGAAGCAGCCGCCCTCATGTTCCACGGCTACCTGCTCGTGCCGGCCCTCCTGAAACGGGTGCTTGTGTGCCTCTCGCTCCACCCAGAGGTGCAGGACCGCGTTTTCCGAGAGATACGTGCTGTGTGCGGTAACGAGGCGCCTAAAGACGAGGATTTGTTGAGGCTGGATTATCTGAATGCGGTGATATACGAGGCAGCGCGGTACATGCCGGTTTTACCCATGCTCACTCGCGCTGCTGTGAACGAAGATCTATGGCTGTCAGCGCCCAGCAGCAGCAGCAGTGGCGGCAGCAGCGGCAGCGGTGGCAGCGGCGGCAGCGGCGTCAGTGGTGGTAGTGGCGGCAGTGGTGGTGTTGGTATTGCTAGAGGGTGGGAAACGGGTGGTGGTGACGGTACTGAGGGAGGCAATAACGGGGATGGGATGGGTAGTAGCAGCGGGAACAGCAGCAGCAGCAATTTCCACTTGGTGCCGTCTGGGGCGATCCTAGCGTTGCCTGTGTATCAACTCCAGCTGAACCCAGCCCTGTGGGGAGGCGACGCAGCCGATTTCAACCCCGATAGGTTCATCCACTTCCGCTGGCACGGCGCTCAGCAGCAGCAGCAGCAGCACCAACAGCAGCACCACCCGCACCAGCAGCACCACCAGCACGAGCCCCGCTCTCACTCCTTCGCCAAACGCGACACCCGCGTGGGCGTGGGGCTCGGCCCAGTAAGCCACCGAGAAGCACCTCAGGGGTTCCCGGGGGTTGGAATTGGGGGGGGAGGCGAGGAAGGAGGGAGGAAACCGGGGGAAGCAGCGGGTGCGAGAGGTGCGAGTCCGTGGAGGGAGGGGAGGATGGTCCCGGGGCATGACTATGAGTTTGTGGCACCCGAGCCGGGGCCGCAGTTCCTCATGTTTGGTGCGGGCGCTCGGTCGTGCGTGGGGCAGCGGCTGTCGCTGAAGATCATCCGCGCTGCTGTCGCCATCCTGCTGCACCGATTCGAGGTACGAAGCTGCACCACTACTGCCTTGCTCACCACCACTGCCCTTTTGACCTCTTTTGTGCGCATTTATGTGTGTGTGTGTTTGTTTGTTTGTTTGTTTGTTTGTTTGTTTTGTTTGTTTGTTTGTTTTTTTTTTTTTTTTTTTTTTTTTTTTTTCGTGCGCGTCTTGAGTTCTTGGTGCAGCACCTGCACCTGTTCGTGAGCCGTCTGGAAAACATATTGTCGTTGTTTTCCCTGCCTGCCTTCCGCCCCCGCAGTTCTCCATGTCGCCAGACATGCCCAAGGAGTTTGACACGCGGCTCGAGTTCATGGTGCTGCACCTGCACCCCACGCCGCGCCTCAAGCTTGCTGTTCGCTCCTAGATTCTCGTGACTTCTCTACCTTCTCCTCGCTTCTTCATACTCCTCCTGCCTCCGCCTATTCCGTCTCAGCTCCTCCTAGCTTCCATCTTCCAACATGTCTTGCTGTTATCCCTCCACCTTCCCTCCGCCTGCCCTCCTCCGCCTGTCCTCCCCTTTCGCTCCCTTTTCCACCTTTCCTCCCCTTTTCATCCCCTTTTCCTCCTCGTTTCCTCTCCCTTTCGTCTACCTTTCCTTCCGCTTACCTCCTCCTTTCCTCCCCTTTTCCGTCCGCCTTGCCTCCCTCTTTCCTCCCCGTTTCCTCCTCCTTTCCTCCCCCTTTCCTCCCCCTTTCCTCCCCCTTTCCTCCCCCTTTCCTCTGCCTCTCCTTGGATCTGGGCAACACTTTTTTCCTCGCATCATGTACCCCTTAGCTCTCTCACAGCAGCATTACTACCCTCCATAGGGGAACATCAGCTTCGGCAGCTCTCATGGCCGGTTTCCGCCATCCGTGCTCGACAGAGCTCCCAATCACAACCACCTCGTTAGTAGAACATCAGATTGACCATCAAACTGGTCACCCGATTGGGCTTTGGATTCAGCATCAGCTTCCGTGGCTGGTTGGTAACTGCAACCTTCCCGAACTGTCGTGTGTGGTTACCGCCCGCCTCGTGCGAACACGAACACAGCGACTCAGAAGCAGCACGTTTTGCCACAGCTGCACTGCTACCGCCTCGTTGCTACGGCCTCGTTGCTTTCGCCTCGTTCAGTTGAATTTCTGATCCCGACTCGGCCTCACTTAACACGACTGTGGTGTGGGGAACGCAGCACGTCCAGTCGAAGGCACTGTTGCAGCAGCCAGTTGCGGCGGCAGCAGCGGCAGCAGCAGCAGCAGCAGTGGCGGCAGCAGCAGCAGCAGCAGCAATGGCGGCAGCAGCAGCAGCAGCAGTGGCGGCAGCAGCAGCAGCAGCAGTGGCAGCAGCGTGGTTAATGCGCTTGATTCTTTCAGTATCACCTTTGTCCCAACACCTGTGGATCAGCTGGTGTTTTTGGGGGAAGGAGCCGGCAAATTTACCACTCCTTTCCTCCCCCCCTCTGGTTTGTGTTTTGCACGAGCCTGTGCCCGTGCCTCTGCCAGTGTGGTGCCCCGTGTCAGTGCCCTTTCCTGTGCCTGTGCCTGTGCTCCGTGCCTGTGGCTGTGCTCCGTGCCTGTGCCTGTGCCCATCCATACTTGTGCCTGGGCCTTTTTGTGTTCTATTTAGTGAACTTCACCCTGGTTTCGTGGGGATTTTACCATCTTGTTTTGTCTGGCCACATATGCGGCCACAGATGTTCTTTTATGGGGTGTGCACCTGACTGTGCCTCTCCATTTGACTACATTCTAGATGCCAGGTGTTGCTATCTGCAGCTGTCCCGTAGGTTAGGATGGATGGACATCTCTTCTCAAACGCTAGTGATCGTTGGCTTTCTTTTTTCCAGTGTCTGCTGAGTAGACAACACCCCTGCCCGGCACAGTGAAAATGGACCCGTCATGCTTGCTTTGCTACTGATGGTCAAAGCAGGTTCTATCAGTGTTGACCACCAAGAGCTGAGGGCTTTCTTTGACTAAGCTAAGCTACTGTATCATTACAGGAAGCAAGTACGGGCTGGGGGTACACCGACCAGCCTGGAAAGTCCCTTCTCCCACGCATCCACTGCCACTACTCTGCCTGCCTTGCAACATAAGGCACTACCCCGCCATTCCCTTTGATATCCCATCATACCACCACTCCACATATACTTCTGCAGGAGCAAATACAATATTTTTCTCCCTTGTGCTTCAAATCAACCCCCCCTAGCCATTCTCCTACACTGACAGCATCTTAAATCCCTCGCTTTCAGCCACCTTCACCCCGGCTACTTCACAACCCAGCAGGGGCCGATGCATAAATTTTCTCCCGCGCACTCTCATCCCCGCCCAGACCCTTCCCTTCCACAGACAGCATCTCAAACACCTCATTCTCAGCCGCCTTCACTCCCAAAGCCTGCACACACCCCTCTGCCAGCACCACCCTGCCACTCCCCTCATTTCTAATTGTCTTCACTTGCCAGCAGGAGCCGATGCAAAAATCTTCTCCCACGCACCCTCATCCCCCCCCAGACCGTCCCCTTCCACTGAAAGTATCTCAAACACCTCATTCTCAGTCGCCTTCACTCCCAGAGCCTGCACACACCCCTCTGCCAGCACCACACCACCCTGCCATTCCCCTCATCTCTAGGATTCTTCACTTCCCAGCAGGAGCAGACGCAAAAATCTTCTCCCATGCGCCCTCAACCCCGCCCGGACCCTCCCCTTCCACCGACAGCATCTCAAACACCTCATTCTCCGCCGCCTTCGCTCCCAAAGCCTGCACACACCCCTCTGCCAGCACCACTCGACTCGTCTCCCCTGAAAACGAATCACTCCCTCTCCTCACCTCCACAGCCTTTCTCATCCCAGCCGTTGCCTTGAGCAGTGTGTTCAGGTCGTAGCTGGTGTAGGGCCCGTCTGTCAGCCTGCCCGGGCGCAGGATAGTGTACGGAATGCCCGAGGATTTCACGAGGTCTTCAGCCATTTTCTTGTACTTGAGCACCCCGAAGAGGTTGAGGATGGAGTAGGGTAGCTGGTTGTGACGCTCGACGCCGGCTGATGAGACGAAGACGAGACGGGAGAGGTCTTGCGGGAGGGCTGCTAGAAGGTTCTTCACCCCAACATAATCTGGCAAAAGGGGGGCCCCGGGGGGGGGTGAGGGAAGAGGTGAGGGGAGAGCGTGAAACGAGGTCTTCGGCAGCTGGTTGACTTTTGAGGCGCCTCAAAGGATTTCACAAGGTCTTCGGCCATTTTCTTGTACTTGAGCACCCCGAAGAGGTTGAGGATGGAGTAGGGGAGTTGATTGTAGCGCTCGACGCCGGCTGAGGAGACGAAGACGAGACGGGAGAGGTCGCGGGGGAGTGCTACTAAGAGGTTCTTCACCCCAACATAGTCTGGCAAGGGGGAGGTGGGGGGAAAATGAGAATGGGAGGAGCTTGATGGATGGAGTAGGGCAGCTGGTTGTAGCGCTCCACGCCGGCTGATGAGACAAAGACGAGGCGGGACAGATCGCGGGGGAGAGCTGCTAGAAGGTTCTTCACCCCTATGTAGTCTGGCGAAGGGGAAAGGGTTGGGAAGAGTGGGGGGGGGGAATTAGCATATGAGGAAGAGGATGGAGTAGGGGAGTTGGTTGTAGCGCTGGACACCGGCTGATGAGACAAAGACGAGGCGGGAGAGGTCGCGGGGGAGAGCCGCTAGAAGGTTCTTCACTCCGATGTAGTCTGGTGAAGGGGGGGAGGGGGTGGGGGTGGTTGGGGACGAGAGGAGGGGAGAGGGTGAAATGAGCACATGAGGAAGAGGGTGAGGATGTAGTAGGGCAGCTGGTTGTAGCGCTCGACGCCGGCTGACGAGGCAAAGACGATGCGAGAGATGTTGCGCGGGAGAGCTGCTAGAAGGTTCTTCACCCCTATGTAGTCTGGCGAAGGGGATGCCGTGGGGGAAAAGGAGAGGGTGGAATGAGAATGGGAGGAGCTTAATGGATGGAGCAGGGCAGCTGGTTGTAGCGCTCCACGCCGGCTGATGAGACGAAGACGAGGTGGGAGAGGTCGCGGGGGAGAGCTGCTAGAAGGTTCTTCACTCCGATGTAGTCTGTAAAAGGGGAAAGGGTGGGGTGGGAAGGGGAGGGGAAGAATGATCATGTGGGAAATTATAGGAATGTTATGCGGAAGGTAGCGAGGGAGAGCCGCTACCTAGAAGGTTCTAGAAGGTTCTTCACTCCGATGTAGTCTGTAAAAGGGGAAAGGGTGGGGTGGGAAGGGGAGGGGAAGAATGATCATGTGGGAAATTATAGGAATGTTATGCGGAAGGTAGCGAGGGAGAGCCGCTACCTAGAAGGTTCTAGAAGGTTCTTCACTCCGACGTAGATTGGCGAAGGGGAGGGGGGAATCGGAGGGGGAAGGGATGGGAAAAGGAAGAATGTGAGAAATGAATTAGCGGGATGTGAGGAATCGTTTGAACGTGGGGAAAGAAACGTATGAGAAAGTCCTGTGAGTGTTGCTGACGGGGCCCCTCGTTTCTGAAGGAATTAAGACGAGGCTGGACAGGTCAAGTCAAGGTCCTGAGGGAGAGCTGTTAGGCCTGATTGACGTAACGGGCTGTTTAAGCGGACTTAATCTAGGAGGAGGAGCGAGATGGGAGGTGAGGTGAGGATGTGAGAGATTCAAAGGTTGAATTGGAGCTGGTTGCATGGGGGGTTATTTGTTTCTCGGTACTCTCAACACGACTTTAAGCTAGATGGATGTTTATTGCCCAGTAACCGACAACACATCCGGAAAGGTCGCACCAAGCATGGAATAAGAACGCACCTGTTTGTTCCGGCCCGTTGTCGCCGTCCCACCGCTTGGACGGGAAAGCAAGAATCGCCAATGATCCGCACACACGTGTCATCCCAATAATCGGCAACACACCACGCAAGATCGCAACAATAACCGAGTAGCATGGAATGGAACGCACCTGTTTGCTCCGGCCCGTTGTCGCCGTCCCACCGTTTAGACGGGAACGCAGTCGTTCCGACGCACACGATCGCCGCGGAAATTCCGGCGAAGAGCGCGGGGGAGATGGTGCCAGGCTGGCGGAGATCTGCGGTCACGATCTGAATCAAATCCGCGGGCGCGTCGGCGAATAGCGACTCGGCTTTCTCGACGTTCCTAACTAGCGCGCGCACGGCTTGGTTCTTAGCTACGAGCGACGCGACGCATAGTTGACCCACGCCGCCGGACGCGCCGACGACGAGCACTCGTTCTAGCGGCGGGTTTGACGGCGACGAAGCAGGCGACGCGGCCTCGGGAGTGTCGCTCGCTGCCGCGGCGGAGATTACTGCGACGCGCGAGTGGGAGTATTGGCGGCTGTGACGGTGTTGAGAGGCGGGTGTGGAGATTAGGCGGGTGGAGGGCGCGATGGACTGACGGAGAGTGGAAACGCCGGAAATTGCGGGGAGAATGATGGACGGTTGTCGAGTGGTAAGGCGGGCATTCGTGGGGCGTCCGGTTAGAGATGTCGCGACGGTAGAGGAGACATTGGAAGAGCGAAGCGAGCAGCTGGGAGCGACGGCAGCCATTGCTAGATAAATAGCCGAGGTGTTCGAGCAATGCTCCTATTTCCCAGTCCCCAGACAACAAAATGCTCCAAGCTGAGACCTCGGAGGAGTAGGAGGCGAGACCTAAGCAACCGAAATGCTCGAAAGATAAACAGCCTCGACAACAAAATTGCAAGCACCAGGTCTGGTCTGCTGGAAATCTCTATTTTCCAGGCCAAGTGCAGAATTTGGAGTTCATGGTGCTGATCCGTATCTGGCAGCAGCTTTTGGCAAGCCCGCAACGCAAGTGTTTCCGCGTCGCTTCTGATCGTAGTCGTGTTACCCCGTTACCGCACGATGTGAGCAGACTCAGAAATAGCTCTCGTAGATGCTGCGACAAAACGAGACAGCTTGCCATGGCGAACAGAGCCGAATCCAGTGGTGGTGTGTCCCTGTGTACGGGAGATGAATTCTGTACACGACCCCCTCCACCCCGAAATCACTTCTTGTGGTGAGTATGAAGGCCACGTCAGACACCGCGTCGACTAGCTGATATTCGCTAAGAATTATTTCGTCAACACATAGAAGTTTCGGATTTAAAATTATAATATAAAATGTGCACCCCGGTTTTAACTATACTTGACCTTTCTGGCTGAAATTGAAAATCGCCCTTCAGCTTCCAACAAGCACCTGTTGACTTCACCATCAGCATCACCATAATCAGTCTCATTCCGCTCGTTGCCTCGTCCAGTTGCCTCCCATGAATTTCCCGCACCATTCCATGACGCCGTGAGGCTATCGTCTTTCCATGTCGCCTTTCCACGCGCGGCGCCGGTCGTGGTGCGCCGTCTCCAGTCATCTTCAGCGCGCCTTCCACACCAATCCACTCGCCGTCGCCGCCGCATTCCAAAGCGTCCCACAAGCGGCGCGGCAATCAACAGGACACCTGCTTAGTGGTTACGATCTGCATCGTCCATTTGATCGTCTATCCGGTCGCCCATCCGACCGTCCACCCAATCGCCCATCCGACCGTCCATCCGACCGTCCATCCAATCGCCCATCTGATCGTCCATCCGACCGTCCATCCGCTCATACTCATTACCTGGGATCCGGGTCCTCTTCGTGGCCGCGCAAAGTAGCTGTTGAGTCAACACAACATTCACTTGAATCACATCCTCGCCGTAGCCATAGCTTCGCGTTTAGAGCAAGTTACTCGATCGACTGTTGGGGTCATGGGGGTTTCGTCTACCCGCAGGCACACACCTTGACGAGGCTTCTCTCGACCTCGCATGGTGCTGACGTGGCTCAATCGAATTCTGAGTTCACTGCCTCAGGTGTTCGACCAGGAGAAGATGGGGAGAGTGACAATAGCGAGGGTGCAGCAGCAGAGGTGGAGGAGCCGAGCATACCGGTTGTGGCGATGGCTGACAGCCGTCCGATCGTTGTGATCGTAGGGCGACCCAACGTTGGCAAGTCAGCTTTGTTCAACAAGTAAGCAGCCTGATTGCTGCACATCCATCCGTGGGGTCTTGTTTTTTGAGGTCGTGGTGTGTGACACACCGCAGATGTTTCTTGAGCTGACAGAAAAAAACCCCTCTCCACCTCTCTCCACCCCTGTGCGCCGCGCCCATACGATCTCTGCAGGCTGATGCGGCGCAGGGAGGCGCTGGTGTGCGACACCCCGCAGATGGTTCATGAGTTGACGGAAACAAACCCCTCTCCACCTCTCTCCACCCATGTGATCTCTGCAGGTTGATGCGGCGCAGAGAGGCCCTGGTGTGCGACACCCCGCAGGGCCACATGACCAGAGACGTGCGTGAGGGCGTGTGCTCCTTCTTTGGGCTCCGGTTTCGAGTATTTGACACAGCAGGACTCGAACCCGCGACCTCTGCCACCCACCAGGGGCATGGGCAGGGGCATGAGGGTAGTAGTGGGCCGGGAGAGAGTGGTGGTGGGAGTAGGGTTGTGGGATTTACTCCGAGCCTGCTGGGGAATCTACCGGAGGCGGAACGTGCGGCGATGGAGGCGTCGATTTTGCAACGAACGGCTGAGATCACGTCGTACCTGCTGGGGCAGGCAGCTGCGGTGCTGTTTCTCGTGGATACCAGGTGGGTGTTTCTGCGGTGTCGTGCTCTGATACCATGCACAAAGATCCTTCATTCTTTCTTCTGCTCTCTTCTTCTCCGTCTCGCTCTCCGCCTCTCCCTCTTTTTCCATTGTACCCCCACTCCTCACCCTCCCCCCTCCCAACCCCAACCCCCCCTCCCCTTCACCAACCCCACCCTCCTCCACTCCCCCCTCCCGACATCTTCCCCTCTTTTTTTTATCTCCTATTCTATATCTTTCACTCGTTTGCCCTCTTTCTTACCCCCGTTCTTTCCTTCTCCAATACTCACACATCTTGCTCTTTCTCTTTCACTCCCACCACTCTCCTCCCCCCCACCCACTCACCATACCTGATAAAAAATCCTTCTTTAAGAGCTGGCATTCAACCTGCTGACGTGGAGGTTGCTGATTGGCTGCGCCGCTCCGTCCCAAAGCACCGGGTGGTGGTGCTGGCGAACAAATGCGAGGGGCTGGGCGGCGACAGCACAGGCCTGCTGGCCTGCCACGTGGCAGAAGCCTACTCGCTGGGGTTTGGCGACCCGATCCCGATTTCTGCCGAGTCTGGGGAGGGATTGGAGGACCTTTATGCTGCTGTGAAAGGACCTGTGGAGGAGAAAGAGAGGGAGGAGCGGGAGGGGAGGGAGGAGAGGGAGGGAAGGGAGAGGGAGGAGAGGAAGGAGAGGGAAATTAGGGAGCGGAGGCAGGAGGTGGAAGGAAGAAAGATGGCCATATCAGGTGAGCACATGTGGCTGTTTCAGGTGGAGGAGAGTTTTACTCATGTGTTTGGCTTTGATGCTCTCTAGTGAGCTCATGAGAGCTTCAATGGGCTGTCCCTGCTGCTTTTAAAGTGGTTCAGGCAGGAGAATATCAGGCAACCTCGTGTGATGCGATGCTTTGCTTTCCCTCCACGTCTCTCCTTGGTGGTGTTCTGTGCAGCACAGGGATAAGCGCACGCGCGGAGCGGGGCGATTCTGCTGCGCTGTTGCCTGATGGCAATGAGCGCTCTGATGCACTGAATGGTGGCGCTGCTCATGCCTCTGGAGCTCTGGATATAACAACATTAGATGCGGCAGAGGAGGAGGAGGAGGAGGAGGAGGTGGAGGAGGAGGAGGACGAAGCAGCAGCACAAGCGTTGTTATCATCCTCAGCAGCAGCAGCAGAGGCGGCAGAGGCAGCAGAGATACCGCTACAGCTGGCGATAGCAGGGCTGCCGAACGTGGGCAAGTCAACGCTGGTCAACTCGCTGCTGGGCGCGCAGCGCGTGCTGACGGGGCCGGAACCGGGACTCACTAGGGATGCTGTGCGGATCGGCATCACGTACCAGGGCAAACCCATGTGGCTGGTGAGAGGGGGGTGTGGGGAGTGGGGGGTGGGGACGGCACAGCGTGTGCTGACGGGGCCTGAGCAGGGATGCTGTGCGGATTGGGATCACGTACCAGGGCAAACCCATGTGGCTGGTGAGAGGGAGGGGGGAGGGGGGGGGGGGAGGGAGAGGGGGATGGCATGACGAGTAAGGGGGAGAGAGAGAGAGCGGTTGTTTGTGAGTTTGTTAGATTTCTAGAATACTCACCAGGGCAAGCCCATGTGGCTGGTGAGAGGGGAGGAGGGGGCCGAAGAAGAGTGGGGGGGAGGGAGGAAGGGGAGGTTGTGGAGTGGTGTTCTATAAGGAGGGTGGGGGGAAGGGTTGTAACCACACAGGAGCTTGAAATGGGCCCCGTTTTCTTCCTTATTGGAATCGAAACTGGATCTTACCCGGAACACCGCCATCAGGATTGGCATCAAGTCACACCAAGGGGAACGCAATTGGGTGTCAGGATTGTCCCACAGGGGGTATTCTTAATTTCCTTCTTCATTTCCTTCGAAGGTTACTCCTCCAAGTTCCAACCTCAGGTTCTGGCCGGGCCTCTTGTTCTCTCCTATACCAGGTGGACACGATATGTGGGTGAAGGCAGCGCACGCAACTCTCCCCCTCTGTCGCTATTTATTCCTTTGAAACTCTCTCGACCCCTTTGAACCCCTCTAGACCTCTCTGAAACCCTCTGAAACTTTCTGAACCCGCAATCTTAAATCCGTGTCTCTTCCATGGCAGGTGGACACGGCGGGATGGGTGAAGGCAGCGCAGGCGAGACTCCCCTTCTGTCACTATTGTTTTCCTCTGAGACCCTCTTAACCCCTTTAAACCCCTCTGGACCTTTCTGAAACGCCAGGTAAGCACAGTGAAGGCAGTGCAAGTAAGGCAGAGGGGGCCTGTGTCGCGGCTTCTTCCTAAACCCCTCTGAACCGCTCTGAACCCCACGGCAGGTGGACACGGCGGGGTGGGTGAAGGCAGCGCAGGCAAGGCAGAGGGGGCCGGTGTCGCTGGCACGCATGGACATGGAGAGGAGCATTGGGCGCGCGCATGTGGTGGTGCTGGTGCTCGATGCTGCCGTGGTGAGTAGAGGCTAATGTTGATGTGTGAGGTGCCGTACAAGGGCCGGTGGTGCTGTGGTGTAGCTGGCTCGCATGGACATGGGGAGGAGCATTGGGCGCGCACACGTGGTGGTGCTGGTGCTGGATGCTGCTGTGGTGAGTGAGTGGATGGTAATGTTGATGCCTGAGGTGCTGTACAAGGCCCGGTGCTGCTGTGGTGTCGCTGGCTCGTATGGACATGGAGAGGAGCGTTGGGCGTGCACATGTGGTGGTGCTTGTGCTGGATGCTGCCGTGGTGAGTTGATGTATGTCTGAGGTGCCGTGCTGTACAAGGGCCAGTGGTGCTGTGGTGTCGCTGGCTCGAATGGACATAATAGAACGTTGGGCGCGCACATGTGCTGGTGCTGGATGCCGCAGTGGTGAGATAATGGTGATGTTCATGTTCTGAGGCACCGTACGAGGGCCGGTGGTGCTGTGTTGTCGCTGGCTCGCATGGACATGGAGAGGAGCGTTGGTCGCGCACATGTGGTGGTGCTCGTGCTAGATGCTGCCGTGGTGAGTTGATGTTCATATTGATGTGTGAGGTGCCGTACAGGGCCCAGTGGTGTTGTGGTGTCATTGGCCCGAATGGACATGGAGAGGAGCATTGGGCGCGCACATGTGGTGGTGCTGGATGCTGCTGTGGTGAGTTCATGAAATGTATGCATGAATTATCCTACGAGGGTGTTCCGTCCCCCTCCTCCAACTCCAACTCCACTCCGGCCACCAGTTTCCATCCAAGTTAACTAAAAACAACAGTTTCCACTTCGCATTATAAAACCCCCGGTCTCCCTATGTAATCTGCATGTATTTCCGCCCAATGATGTGTTGCCAGGTGGCAGAGGAGGAAAATTCTCTCAAGACAGCAGAGAGGTTGCTGGCGCGGTGGGTGTAGGAGGAGGGGCGCGCACTGGTGGTGGCGGCCAATAAGATGGACGCGGTGGGGGGTGACAGGGACAGGGACAGGCGGGGAGGGCGGACCTGGCTCAAGTGTGTGCTCCTTCCCTCTCCCCAACTCCACCTCAACCACCCCGACCCTCCACTGTTGTCTGACAGGTGGCGGAAGAGGAGAAGTCTCTCAAGGCAGCAGACAGGTCGCTGGCGCGGTGGGTGTGGGAGGAGGGGCGCGCACTGGTAGTAGCGGCGAATAAGATGGATGCGGTGGGGGGTGACAGGGACAAGCGGTGGGTGAGGAAGAAGGTCAGGCGGGCCGTCCCAGTGGAGATCGCTGCTCTGCTGCCACAGGTGGGTGACCGGGGGAGGTTGGAAGCTTTGTAGTGGGGTAATTTGCTGGTGGTGGCGGCAAACAAGATGGATGCGGTGGGGGGTGACAGGGACAAGCGGTGGGTGCGCAAGAAGGTCAGGCGGGCCGTCCCAGTGGAGATCGCTGCTCTGCTGCCACAGGTGGGTGACCGGGGGAGGTTGGAAGCTTTGTAGTGGGGTAATTTGCTGGTGGTAGCTGCCAATAAGATGGATGCGGTGGGGGGTGACAGGGACAAGCGGTGGGTGCGCAAGAAGGTCAGGCGGGCCGTTCCCCTGGAGATTGCTGCACTGCTGCCGCAGGAGAGTTAATGAGGGTTGCTGTGAGGGCGTCACTAGAGGGACTAGACTCGAGGGACAAGCGGTGGGTGCGCAAGGTCAGGCGGGCCGTCCCGATCGAGATCGCTGCATTGCTGCCGCAGGTGAGTGACGAAGGGCCTGTGCTCACTAGCGCTGTGCCTTCCCTCCTCTCCTCTCCTAGCTGCACAGTTTGCCAACAGCCATGCAAAATCGAGTCTCCAGACCGTTTCAGACCGCGTTAGGTGGGCTCCAAGTGAACGAACCCTTTCTCACTGTTACTATCCCCTCCCTCCACTCCTCCCCACTCAGCTGCACAACGTGCCGATAGTGTTCACCTCAGCACTGCATGGGGAGGGTGGCAAGGAGCTCATGCAAGCGGTCTCAGATGCGTACGACCGGTGGAACACTATGGTGCCTGCTGCGCGGTTGAAACACTGGCTGCCACAGGTGAGCCTTGGGTTTGCTTTTGAGGTGCCTGGTGGCAAAGAAATGGGAGGCAAGGAGCTGATGCAGGCACGCAAGCGGTATCAGATGCATACGACCGGTGGAACACCATGCTGCCTGCTGCCAGACTCAAGCACTGGCTGCCTCAGGTGAGCTTGAAGCCTGCTTAAAGTAATTCGGTCACAGGTATGGGCGTGAGGTGAATGGTGAGTTGACTCGTGCAAGCAACTCCCTCTTCCAATTCTCATATTGCGTTGGTGCACTAACTCTATGGAAATACGGTACCAGTCGTGTTTTGAGTCGACTAAAAAAAGCAACTCCCTCTTCCAATTTTCATATTGCGTTGGTGCACTAACCCTATGGAAATACGGTACCAGTCGTGTTTTGAGTCGACTAAAAAAAGCAACTCCCTCTTCCAATTTTCATATTGCGTTGGTGCACTAACCCTATGGAAATACGGTACCAGTCGTGTTTTGAGTCGACTAAAAAAAGCAACTCCCTCTTCCAATTTTCATATTGCGTTGGTGCACTAACCCTATGGAAATACGGTACCAGTGCGCATGCATGCTTTACGTACTCCTCTTCCTCCCTCTCTACTTTTGAGACGTCTCAAAAGTACTCTTTTTACAGGTATGGGCGTGAGGTGAATGTTGAGTTGACTCGTGCAAGCAACTCCCTCTTCCAATTTTCATATTGCGTTGGTGCACAAACTCTATGGAAATATCAGTACGACTTTTGAGGCGCCGCCTCAAAAGTCATTTTGAGGCGCCTCAAAAGTCCAAATTTTATATTGCGTTGGTGCACTAACTCTATGGAAATACCTGTGCGCATGCATGCTTTACATACTCCTCTTCCTCCCCCTCTACCTGTTCCCACCCTATCTCGCCTGTCCTACCCAGACCCTCAGGAAGCTTCCTGGATCGTGCACCGCAGCTTCCGTCAAGAGCATTGTGCAGGTCAAGTCACGGCCGCCCACCTTCGTGGTGCGTGTGACCGCCGCTGCTGCAGGGGACCGGTCTCTCGCGCGCTTCTTTTCCACAAGAATTGCCGCTGACTTCGGGTTTGACGGTGTGCCGGTGCGTGTGGTGCTGAGAACCAAGGAAGGCACCAGATGGTAATGCTTGTGTGGGAGACCGTGCTTAGTGCTGCTGCTGCTGCTGCTGCTGCTGCTGCTGCTGCTGCTGCGGCTGCAGGGGACCGGTCTTTCGCCTGCTTCCTCTCCTCCAGACTCGCGGCTGACTTTGGTTTTGACGGCGTGCCGGTGCGTGTGGTGCTGAGAACCAAGGAAGGCACCAGATGGTGATACCTGCTGATGGCTGCTGGTGGCTGGTGGTGGCTGTGCAGGAGACCACAATTAGCGTATCTTTTCCTGCTGTTGCTGCCGCTGCTGTGGGCTAAGCAGGTTTTTGGATCGCATGCATTCCTCTCCTACCAGTTGGCCTAGGATATGCACCATCGAGTTAAACATAGCACCTTTCAAAGGAATTAGCCATTGAAATGAAGTGTAACCCCTAAAAGATTAATTGAGACAATGAGGGGCTTGTGCAGAGGCTCGAGCCACGAGTCGCAATGCTAACTGGTGGGCAAAAATCTAATCTTGGTAACTGCCTCAGGGTGAAAAGGGTGCATCAGCAGTGGCATACATGCCAGTAACATTTGAGGCTGCTTATTGTTGAGACGTACTGAACATTTTGTCACTTAGTATATTTGCTGTTGAGATTCCAATCAGCTGATCAGCTGAGTGGGTGTGAGCCTGGCAGATTCCCTGGCTACCCGCTGCTCGCCCAGCAGAATGGACCCCCCCCCAGCCAATTCGGCGCCTAACAAATCGTCTCTATAGTTGCCGTTCAGATTCCAATCAGCTGAGCAGAGTGGGTGTGAGCCTGGCAGCTTCCCTAGCTGCGCGCTGCTCTCCCAGCAGAATGGACCCGCCCACAGCCGCCCCCCCAGGATGCGACTTTTGAGTCGACTCAAGAAGCAATCAGCTGAGCAGAGTTGGCGTGAGTCTGGCAGCTTCCCTGGCTGCCCGCTGCTCCCCCAGAAGAATAGACCCGCCCACAGCCGCCCCCACGATGCCCGCCTCATTGCGCATCTCTGCTGCCACTATGGGCGTGCCCCCTGGCACTGACAGCAGATGCAGGAACTGTGGTGGGGAGGGAGGGCAGGAAGGGAACGTAAGTAATCGTTCTCGAGTCATCTCTGCTGCCACTATGGGCGTGCCCCCTGGCACTGACAGCAGATGCATGAACTGCGGAGAAGAAGGGGAGGGGGTTGGGGGGAGGGGGGAGGGGGGGGGGGGGGGTTGGAGGGAAACTCAAGAGGAGAAAGGGGCGAGAAGAGACGGTGCGGGATATCTCATAAGCCTTCCATGGCTGCCCTCTGCTCCCCCAGCAGAATAGACCCGCCCACAGCTGCCCCCACGATGCCCGCCTCGTTGCGCATCTCTGCTGCTACTATGCCCCCGGGCACTGACAGCAGATGCAGGAACTGTGGGGAAGAAGGGGAGGGGAGGAGGGGTGGGGGGTATGGGAAACGTAAGTAAGCGGACTCGAGTGATCTCCGCGGCTACGATGGGCGTGCCCCCTGGCACTGACAGCAGATGCAGGGGAGGAAGGAGGGAGAACAAAGAATTGGGGGGAGGAAGAAAAGTGAAGGAGGGGGTGGGCGGGTGGGTGGGTGGGTGGGTGGGGGAGAGTAAGCAGACGGAGCGGAGGTGATTTGATCAGCTGCAAAAATGGGCAAGCGAGCTCCCTGGGAGTCTGTGCAGGCGGGGAGTGGGAGTGAGGGGGTCTTGTAGGTGATGGTGGTAACAATCATAGAAATGGAGAGGCAGGCCTGTGAAAAGAGAGGGGAGTGTGGAGTGTGATATTTCAAGCATGGATATTGCATGTGGAGGGCAAAGTCGAATAGCGACAATACTCAGCCTATTACTTTCCCACACTCAGCCCTCTCACCTTTTCATCCTTCTTGCTGATGCCTCCACCAATCACCTGCAAGCAAGCACAAAGCACCATACAGCAGGATAGCACAAAACTGTCAGATCGCGCATCAGGCATGCATTACAGCCTTCAATACAATCCAACCACATTGGGACGGGCACAAGAGTACTCTGCAATAACGCTGTGACGCAGTAGCACTGTACACTACAAGGTCCCATTTCCCTGCCGAGCCCAATCCTTACAGCGTATGCCACTGTACCCCTATAAAACCCATAAGCTCTCTCTATGTAAATAAAATAGCACTCCATTCATACCAGGTACTCATTCACCCGCCTGGCCCACTTCTTCCACCTCACATCCGCCTAATCCGTATTGCTGATAGCACGCTCTGTACACTCTGTACACGATATAGTACCAAGCACTCACTATAAGATCCGGCTGGAGGTAATGCTCCATGCGCGCCAAATACTCATTCACCCGCCCGGCCCACTTCTTCCAGCTCATATCCGTCTTGTGCTTACCACTGGCAGCGCGCCAATTCTGTACACTATGCACATGATAAAGTATTTCGTACTCACTATAAGGTCCGGCTGAAGGTAATGCTCCATGCGCGCCAGATACTCATTCACCCGCCCGGCCCACTTCTTCCAGCTCATATCCGTCTTCTCCTTCACTGCTCCAGAGGCCACCTTCTCGGCAATTTCCCCGTTCACCTCTATGTGCCCCATCTCTAGGTTCGGCACCAGATGCCCGCCCACGAACAGTGCCGTGCCTATCCCCGTGCCGAACGTAGTCATCAGGACCGTGCCTTCCCGCTGCAAGGGTCGGCCGGCGCCGAACCTCATTTCGGCGAATCCTGCTGCATCCGCGTCGTTGATTGCTGCCACGTGGCAGCCTGTGGCGCGTTGGACGAGATCAACGGCGTTGATGTTGATCCAGGACTTGTCGACTGGGACAAGGGGAAGCGAACGTTGTTCCGGAGGTGGTGGGGGTTGGAATTGGGGGCAGAAGTTCGGATCAGAAAAAGGCTGGATCCATGGTCTTGTTACTACAGAGCGTCTGTTCTCCTTTTTTGCTGCTCTTTTTTTCCGTTTCATCTCTGGTTAGCCCCATTCTCCACCACATAGTTTCCTCTTGAGATAATTCATCAGTTCAAACTACTTCCACCCGGCTCGAGGAGCAATGCACTTGTTATTGATTGTACTCACTATTGGCAGCACTTCGGACGATGCCACGCCGGACGACAGACGGAACGCCAATTCCGATTGGCCCATCCCACTGGCGAGGCAAACGAAAGGAGGCGGGAAGTTGAAAGCAAATTTGAAGGAGGAATTAAGCCAAAGAAATGCCACGAATGAAGAACAAGGTAAACCAGTGGGGCCTGGATGTTCCCATTTGGTGAACAACTAAGAAGAAAAAACGAGCTTCCAAGCCAGCAATTGATAGAAACAGCACTCACCCGGAAGTGCTCCTTGATCTGCCTGATGACGTCAGCGACGGCCTGAGGCGTGGCGGGATTGGGCGTGGGAATACGGTATCGCTCCAGCAGCAGCGTGCCGGTGGCCACGTCCACCGGCGCTCCCTTGATTCCCGTCCCGCCGAAATCCAATCCCAAGACGATCGACAGCTCATCCTCGTGGTGCCGCTCTCGCAGCATGATTTCCCGCCAATGCTGCGGATCCCGGTGAAAAAGTTCCATTGGGGGTACCGGCTCGTGGGAATGGACAATGGGTGCGGTGGGTTCGTGCTGATGCTGCTGCTGGAATTGCGTCGTGGAGAAAAGGGAGCCAAGATTCGACGAATTGGAGGGGGGCGGCGGGGTCGACGGGCCGGCCGTTGTGGAAGCGAAGATTGGGAATGCGGACTTGGAATTCTGACACGCGCAAACAGTAGACGAGGATAGCTTGAGATCAATCTTTCGCCAAGAGTGCAAAGGGTGGCCGGAATGGTGCAGGGAGGCCATGGCTGAGGCGGGACTCGAGTGCAATGCGGATGAACGAGTAGCGGCGCCGGAGACTGAACGAGTCAATGCGACGGGAGAAGATGAGGCTGACAGGGAGACCGCCATAAAACGGACAAATTTAGAGAATGCAGGTTTGGAAAGGCGAGTTCCGCGGGGAAAAAGCAGCTGGACAATCCCTGCATCGAACAACAGAAGGTTTTATGATGGGAGCAGGGAATGGTGTGAAGCAAGTATGAGGGCTTCTCATCTCACGCTTTCACCGGAATTTGTCCTTCGGAACTTGAATTTTGGGATTCGGAATTCGGGTGCAGCAGCAACATTCTCCAAACGAGACCAGCGAGACGGGAGAGATGGGGGGAGAGGGGGAAAGGGGAGGAAGGGAGGAGGGGAGAGGGTGGGGAAAAGAGGGGAAGCGAGGGGAAGGGAGGGGAAGAGTGGTGGGCGGGCAGCGTACCATCATTCTCGAGCAAAGGGGAGCGGAGATGTGCAGCGCAGCGGAGCAAAAAGCCCGCCAAACGATCACACTTTCCATCCATGTTTACCGTTGAAGACGATACGTGATCGCGGTTTTCGCGAATGGATAGAAAAACCGCGTGGCATCAGTCTCGCCATGCCCCGTCGACAAACCGCTCAGCCAGCTAAAAAGTCTGCGCTCCTTCGTGGCGATTTCGAAAGCTGACGTGTTATTGGCCTATGACGAGTAGAGGGAATCTTCGCCTATATCCGATACTAACTGCTCTGTAAGGGTACAGTGTGATTTCCCCGTATTTGGCTACACATGGATATGGACTCACCATGACATAATCATGTCGAATGGATGGATGGTCACGGCGAATTACTTCGAAGACATCAACTGTTCCAAGGCCGCCATGGATACTATCAGGGACTTCAACCTGACCAATGTCTTGCAATTTCTTGTCAGTTGCTGATTTGAAGGCCATTTCCAGAACCTACGTGGCAAAGCGCGTCTGGGGGTATACTTTTTGTGTCTATTCGGTAGACATGTTACCTACCATGCGTTTGCCAGGCATTTCTGGGGGTTGTCATGCAATTTCAAGGTTACAAGCACTGATCGAGCTCGTGTTTCCTACAGTTCCTAGGGCGTCCTGGAAGCATTTTCCTTTTCAACGCGCAGCGTCTTACATAGATTTCGTCAGGCAGGGTCCTTACGTGGCCTATGCAAGGTCGCGTTTCCATTACGGATATCCTCGGGGTATAGCAAAGAAGAAAGCAAGGCGTAGGCCTCCTGGGAAGGCATTTAAGGCGTCGGTGCTCAGAACTTCTTCATTGTCAGCAAGAGTGTTGTTTCGTCGGTTTCATCATCACATCATGGGTCGCCCTCCCAAGAAGGCTGCTGCTCTCCTTAAGAGCAACGCTGCTGAGCTGTCGGCTAAACGCCACCAGTCTGAGCCTGCTACGCCGAAGCCGTTGCTGAAGGAGACGGTGGGTCCCTTCGCTGATGACACCCGGCTGTCGCTGGAGAAGAAGTTGGCCTCCTTGAGTTTCAAGAACCTGGAGGACAATGCATCTGGGAAGGAAACCTCTGCAGAAGGAGGACAAGGGAAACAGACTGAGTCGGACGCGCCGGCTGCAGATCCGCGTCCAGAACCTGTTGAGGAAGAGGACGATGAAGACGAAGAGGGTGATGGTTATTTGAGCGATGATCCGGAGGAGCGCCTGGATCCTGAGCGTGCGGGAGAGATCGCGGCCCTTGCTGGCTACACGCTCACCTTGTTGATCCCGCAGAAGTTCGTGGAGGAAGTCCCGCGCACTATTGATACGGTGAAGGAGTTGTTGGTCATTTGGAAGAAGGCTCTGACGGTGCACGCGCAAAAGTCAACGAAGATTCAAGTCCTACCTCCGGCTTACTTGTCAAAGCAGCGTTTTGGGAGGCTGCAGGTTACGTTTCGGGAAGCCGCGGACGCGAGCTACGTCTGGTGTCGCCGGGTGGAGCACGTGTGCGTGGATGGGAAGACGAAGTTGACCCTGAGCTGGCAGCATCCGGAGAATCCGCTGTACATCAAAGAACGTGCGCAGAACCCGGATGCTATTGACATACTGCTGAAAGGGGTTCCGGCGGAGATCTCGTCGGACATGATTTACAAGCTCCTGGTGACGACCCCGCTGGAGAAGCGAGGACGTCCCCCGTACCTGTCGGGTGCTGCTTTCCATCGGGTGGTGGACCCTGTTACGGGAACGGATACCCACAAGATCAAGGGGTTGGTGAAAACCGACCCGGGGGATAAATATCGCTGGTGGCACATGCTTTATGACTCAATCCATCACAAGCAACTGCTCGTTAATTTTCCGTCTCTAGCGTGCGATCTCTACAACGGTATGCACTTCACGAAGCTGCATGATGATTACGTCACGGACAGGCAGGAGAATATTGCGAAGTGGAACCTGACTCTGCAGCGCATTCACGACATCAACGGTAAAGGCCTCGCCGCTAACCTTGTTTTTTCAGGCTGTTGGGGCCCAGATCTGGGATGCTGACGGCCGCTTCCCACCCTTCGTGAGCAGCGGCTTCGCACCTGATCAACGCGACAACGAAGAAGGTCCTGCGCGATCCGGCAGTTACCCTAGTCTCCACGGGTGGCAGCAGGGAAGACTGGATCTGTGTCCAGGAGGCTTGTGGGAAAGCACGGGGGTCCAGCTTCGCTCAGGCGCTAGCGCATGTTCGCTCCGTCCAGCACTGTACCGCGCTCCTGAAGGGGGGGGAGGCTACGCGCGCAAGCAGGGGGAAAGTGAACCTGACGGCAATCCGCAAGGAGTTCGCGCTGTGATTGATGTTCCGCCGGTGGTGTCGGCAGGAGAGGTGTGGCTCCGTGTGACTTGGAGGCAGGAGACGTGCAGTGGCAGTAGTGGAGATAGTCAGCAGCGTGGTTGTATGTCCTCTCTTGATTGTACCAAAGCCCGTGGATGCGAAGGGGCCCCTGCGAAGTGTTATAATGGGTAACAACTCCAACAACATCACACTGTGCGAGGTCAATGTCAATGGCCTCGGGAGCAACGGTAAAAGATGCAAGAACATGAAGTGGATCAAGAAAACAGCAGACATCATGGTGTTAACAGACACGCGTGTAGGAGAAGATCATAACTTCTGGACCCAGCTACGGCCAAAGGCAGTGGCTGCTGTGGCCCCGAGTCAGAAGGCAGGGGGGGTGGCGGTTCTCTCGTTCACGGAGGGGATTCGCTTTAAGGATGTCATAAAACACAACTCAGGCAGACTGGTGGGGGTCACGGTCTGCACTACGCATCTGGTGTTCCGGTTGATTGCGGCTTACCTGCCGGCCCAGGCAGGCTCAAGGGCAACGTTTCTCACCGACTGCCTTACCCCTTTCGTGTAGGCGCAGCCGGTGACGACGCACCTGGTGCTGATGGGTGACCTCAACCTGGTGGAAGACCCGGAGTTGGACAGGTCGTCACGTGCGGCCTCGGCGTCGGAGGACGCGAGGTTGCGGAGATTCTGGCCGGCGCATGATGTTCGGGATGCTTTCCGCGCGCAGCATCCGTCCAGACGGGAGTACACCTTCTACTCGAGGACGACAAAGACCAGCTCGCGAATTGACCGTGCGCTCGTCTCGCTGTCGGCGATGGGGCTGCTGGCGGAAGCAAAGCATGTCTATGTCCCGAGGTCGCTCTCGGACCACTGGTTCGCAATCCGGGTGGCTTTTTCCCCGTCGGCTTCGCTTGAGAGGGGTCCGGGCATGTGGAGGCTGCAGGCGAAGCAGGTGGACACAAAAGGTGTTAAGTCGGTGACGGAGAAAATTATGCGCAAATTAGAGGGGGAGCCAGGAGGGGGTTTGGAAAAAACGCTGAAGCTGGTCACGGCGGGGCTACGGGCCCACACACGGGAGGAGAAACGGAGAATCAAGGCCACACTGATGCACCTGGAGAAGGAGGTTGAAGTCGTACGGTAGGCGGTGATGCAGCGACCGCGGCATAGGGGGCTGCAGAACAGACTGGTCCGGGTGGAGGCGAGACTGGAAGCGTACCTGGAGAGGGACAGGGAAAGGCTGCAAGTGCTAGCCGGCTTGAATGTGGAGCTTAACAGGGAGGTCCCTTCACCGTACCTCACGGCCAAAATCAAGATAAGGAAGCGGCGCACGCTGGTGCAGGAAGTGAAGCACAACGGGGTTAGCTACCGCGGGGCACGTGAGGTCCTGAAGGCAGTGGAGGAACATTTCGGCGCTGCCTTCGGGGAGGTAGACCCAGAGGAGGAGGTGGACTGGGAGAGTTTCGCGACGGGACCACGGCTCTCGGAGGCCGATGCGAAGGAGCTCGGAAAGGGCTGGACGGAAGTGGAGGTCAAGGAGGCACTGGCCTCTCAACCAAAGGGCAGATCCCCGGGGCAGGATGGATTGCCGGCGGAGTTTTTCATCGCGCACTGGGATTTGGTGGGCGGCAAGGTGATGAGTTTCATTAAGGAGTTCGAGAACACGGAGCGACTACCGGAGTTCCTCGCGACTGCAGTAACGGTTCTCCTGCATAAGAAAGGAGACAGAGATCAGTTGGGGAATTACCGGCCTATCACCCTGCTTAACACCCTTTACAAGGTGGCGGCGAAGGTGATGGCTACGCGGCTTAAAAAAGTACTGGGAAAGGTGCTCTCCAAGGAGCAGCACGGGTTCTTACCGAGAAGAAGCTTGGCGGATGCGGTGTCAGTGGTAGTGGACGCGGTGGATGCGGCGAACAACGGCGGAAAGGACTGGCTGCTGTTGCTCGTCGACTTCCAGAAGGCGTACGACACAGTCTCGCGGAGGTTTCTGTTCAAGACGATGTCGGAGCTCGGGGTGCCAGATGCTTTCGTCCGTTGGACAGAAGGCCTGCACACGGGTGCTGGGACGAAAGTGGCGGTTAACGGGTGGCTGAGTGGAAAGATTGAGATGGAACGGGGGGTGCGGCAAGGCTGTCCCTTGGCGCCGTACCTGTTCCTTTGCGCCCTTGAGCCTTTATGCAGGGAGACGACCCGCCGGCGACTGGGGGTGCGCACGCCCGAGGACCATCAACTGTCGTACGTGGGGTACGCGGACGATACGTCTTTCCTCCTGGAGGGGGAGGCACAACTGAGGGAGTCAGAGGAAATGCTTGAGACCTTCGGGAAGCAGTCAGGGCTGAAAGTCAATTGCGAAAAGTTGGTGGTGCTTCCGCTGGGGTGCAACCGTGGCAAGTCAGCGCCGCTGGGCCTTGGTTTCAAATGGGCGGAGAAGGAGGATCCGGAGAGGCTCCTGGGTGTGTGGATTACGCCGAACGACGATGCGGGTCCATCGTGGGACAGGACCTATGAGAGGGTTAAGGAGGAACTGGGGAGATGGGAAGCACAATATTTGACAACAACGGCGAGGGTGGCGGTGGTTGGCTGCTATGTGCTACCGATCATGATGTTCCAGGCCCAAGTGTACTCACCGCCGGATGGTATTTGGGAGAAGGTACGGAAGCTGTGCCACAACTTCGTCTCGGGGGGGGAGGCGACGGACGAGAAAAGGTTCATTCTCTGGAGCGCCTTCCTGATCAGTCTGCTGAGGAAGGACGGGGGGCTAGGGTTGGCGGACCTTAAGGTGTGGCTGATGGATTGGCAATCCGCAGAGTGGGGAAGCTGCTGGCGGAGCCAGACGGAGTTCGTCAGTGGCTAGCGGAGGAGGCAGCGGGCCTCCCGCAGGGGACAAGGACCTGGTTCGCTCACCTTGTGGTGATGAAGAAGTGGACGGGAGGAAGTGAACGGTGGAAAGCAGCAACAAAAGCCTTCTGGGGCTCCCCTTTCGCAGACCTCCCAGACCCTGCAAGCCGGTGGGAGGTGGATGAGGAGTGGTTGTGTTTTAACAGGAAGGTGATGCACAGGGGACAAAGCCCTTTCGGGCTACAGAAGGGCTCGGATATGATACTCAACTTGCACGTCCGGGACCTTCTCACGAGTCTGCCGGATGATAGAAGGAGACCGAAAAGCCTGGAGGAGCTGACGGAGGAACTGGGCGATGATGTTGCGGCGGCACTGGCCCACAAGGCCTACGAAGCGCTCCCGGCGCACTGGAAGGAGCTCGCGCTTGCACCTGGCACGGCGCAAAAGCTTCTAGAGGAGACAAAAGTGGTGTGCGTGTCGGCGCAGCAGTCAGGAGTCAAAACATACTGGACAGTAACGGGGGCGGAAGGTAGCAAACTGGATGTCGATTACCTACGGCTGAGTGAAGGGGGAGTACTGGAGGCCCCGGAAAGGCCATACAAAGCGTGTTTCGAAGTATGCAAGGTGCAGCCGGTGGCGGTGCAAGACATGAAGTTGACAGGGCCGGTGGGGGTGGCCAGGACGAGGCTGCTCACGAAGTCGAAGCTTTTCGATAAAGGGGTTTTGAAGCCTTTGCGGCAAATACGGAGGGACACGACGGGAGACAAAGGGGTGTCAAGAAGGCAGGGGGAGTGGGATGCTGTGTGGGGAAGGAAAATTGATTGGAAGGCGACAATAGCAAGAAGAGACTCGGTGGTGGTGCCACAGAAAGCGAGAGATATTCTGCTCCGAACCCACAGCATGAACCTGCAGGTGGGAGGGAGGCTGGATTTCATGAGGAACAGTGTCGCCTGCCCTCACTGTGGAGGGTATGAAACCCTAGACCACTGCCTATTCAGGTGCGGGGTGATTCAGGCGGTCATTGGCGCGCTGGTGAGAACTTTGGAGCTAATGAACCCGGGCAGGAGGGCTCACTCGCTGGAAGACCTTCTGTTCGAGCGAGGGGGCACCAGCTCGGGCTTCCCGGAAACGACAATTATTGCAACGGTGCTCAGACAGATATGGCTGGCCCGTTGTGACGCGGCGTGGAGGGAAGTCCCCTTCCAGCAGAAGAAGGTGGGGCGAAACGCGGTGGTGGGCTTCATGACGCATGCGCGTGTGATGTTGACAGCGAGGACGAGGGCGGCGGTAAGGAAAGGGGCGCAGAGGAGCGGGCCTTATGACGCGTGGGACCAGGTGGCAAACGATGAGAGGAGGGCGCTGAAGGAGGTCAGTACGGCAGAAGGACCAACCAGGTGGACAGATACCTTCGTGTCCATCTGGCGCAACCCGAGGACGATATATCAACCCCCGTAGAGCGTATAGGGGGGATGGGCCCCTCCCCGTTAGCAGGGCTCTCGCCTCCCAGGCCAACAGTTACGACTGCGGATGTATCTATGTTTGTTAATATATCTACATCCAACATAAATAAAAATAAAAAAAATGACATAATAATGTATGAGCAATTCTGAACACCGTTGAAGCAGTTTTATTAGATACTACTAATTTCTAATACATTTGATTACCAATCATCAAATTGTCGCAGCGGCAAGAGCAGAGGGCTCTATGGGCTTGAACCTGATCCTGAGTTAGGCACTATTGATATTAACTTAGACCAGCAAGACACTGTCGAGTCGATTGACCTCTGCATCCACATCAGCAGATAGCGCATGCTGCTCAAAATTTCAGTCAGAACCGGTCTTAGTTATGGTATCCAAGCTCCACCTGTATCATTCCCTGCCTGACCTTCAACACTGGACTCTTCTGCATATTCTGTTGCTCCTGTTGCTCCTGCTGCGGTTGCTGCTGATGGTGCTGCTAGTTCTGCTGCTGTTGTTACTGCTGCTGCTGCTGCTGCTGCTGCTGCTGCTGCTGCTGCTGCTGCTGCTGCTGCTGCTGCTGCTGCTGCTGCTGCTGCTGCTGCTGCTGCTGCTGCTGCTGCTGCTGCTGCTGCTGCTGCTGCTGCTGCTGATGATGATGATGCTGCTGCTGCTGCGGCTTCTGCTTCAATATTTCAGATTTCCAGGGCTGGGTCGGCTGACAGGTCGGGTGTAGCATCACACCGCTTGGCACTGGTCCTGTCGGATCATATCCTGCACTCTCTCTAGCAGAACCTCATACGTCCTAGCCACTTCTATCCTTGCGCGCGACAATCTATGATATATCCTCTCATAAGACCTACCCGGACCTTCCCACCCCTTGCGATAGAGAATAATATTCTGCCCACCCCAATAGCTAGATAGCACAGAAGTTCCCCCCTGCACACTAATAAAACAGGAGCTTCGGGCCATCATTCGAAACTGAACCTCGTTGAAACTTAGGCTCGGCCAAGCCTCGTGAATCTGCTGCATGGTTCGGAACCGAGCCTCCGAACCAAACTCCTCAGCCAGCCTCGGGTGGTCACCCAAATCAACCCTATCTCCTTGCTCCGGGTCCGCCTTGATCGAATTCCCAGGCCGGTTATACACCACATAATACCCCTTATCAAGAAACTCACGCGTGATTGTAACGAGGGTCGGGACGTCAATGAAATTGGTGGGGGGTTCTGCCCATTCAATCTCATACTTGTTGCTTATAATCACAAGCGGAGCCCCCCCTATAGGAACATCCAACCATACTCGCCCCAGCTCCCGTATCCGGTGCACTAACGGCGGGGGATGCCAATACTGCGGAATGTCACTATAATGAAGGCCCTTCGCGAACCCATACTGTTTAATCACGTAATTGTGATCATTGGAGCGTTTACAGTCTGGGTCTGTGGAGTGATTTGGGCTGAAATAGTAGAGGAGAGAAAGGGGAGAGGCGCAAGCCCGGGTGGATCTGAGAGTTCCGTTTAGGAAATGCCAGTAGGCGTGCGGCAGGACTGCAATCAGCTCATACCCGAACTCGCCCTTAAAGGAGATGTCTATAGCGGGGATGGAGGTGTTAGGAGGTTGGGTGGGTGATGGGTTGAAGGAGGAATTGCAGGGGCAGACCCATGCGGGGGGGTTGTCGTCTGGGGAAGGGGATGGAGGGTTGCAGGGAGGGGGGAGAATGGGCGGCAGATTGGATGGGGGGGGGGGTGCGGGAAAGGGATAGTAGATGGATGGATGGATGGATGGATGGATGGATGGATGGATGGATGGATGGATGGATGGATGGATGGATGGATGGATGGATGGATGGATGGATGGATGGATGGATGGATGGATGGATGGATGGATGGATGGATGTATGGATGTATGGATGTATGGATGGATGGATGGATGGATGTATGGATGGATGGATGGATGGATGGATGGATGGATGGATGGATGGATGGATGGATGGATGGATGGATGGATGGATGGATGGATGGATGGATGGATGGATGGGTGGCTGGATGGATGGATGGATGGATGGATGGATGGATGGATGGATGGATGGATGGATGGATGGATGGATGGATGGATGGATGGATGGATGGATGGATGGATGGATGGATGGTGGGTGGGTGGGTGGGTGGGTGGGTGGGTGGGTGGGTGGGTGGGTGGGTGGGTGGGTGGGTGGGTGGATGGATGGATGAATGGCTGAGAGCATCAAAGGAAAGACGTAAGTCAAGGGAGGAGAGCAGGTGAGAATATGGTGGAGTTGCGCTCAAATGGAGCAATAAACGTCGTGCTCACCTGATACACAATTTGCAGGCTCGCTTGCAGGCTCGGTGGTAGCCTCGTTAGCAGGCTCGGTCGAAGGCTCAGTGGCAGGTTCAGTGGCAGGCTCGGTGACATGCTCAGTGTCAGAGCTGGCATCAGGTTTGGAATCCGAAGCTCCATCTACTTTCGCATCCGGCTCGGGGACAGTGGTAGACGTTGATTCTTCGGATGAACCAGAATCGTGTGGAGGAGAAGAGCCCTCGTCATCTGCATGGGACAAGAGCCATTGGCGGCAGGAACAGCACGAAACGCTGAGAAAAAATAATTGAGGAAGGGAGCGAAAGAGGAGGAGTGACGAGAGGAGGCGGTTCGACGAGGCGGAGAGAGGGGGAGGGGAGAGAAGAGGGGGGAGAGGGGATGGGGGAGGGAAGAGGGAATCGGGGAGCCGGGGGAGGGGAGAGGAGGAAGGGGAGAGGGGGAAGAGGAGGAAGGGGAGAGGGGGGAGAGGAGGAAGGGGAGAGAGGGGAGAGGAGAGGAAAAGGGGAGAAGGGAGAGCCTAAATTACGAGCGCACCAGACGCGGCAGCAATGCGGGTTGTGAGAGTGAGGGCGAGGAGCAGGAGAAGGAGGACGCGCCACGAGCGACGAGCGACAATGTGCGACGATTGACGAGCGGGCTGAAAGGGAGAAGGCCGCGTGGCGGCAGCAGCAAAGAACCTTCCGTGAACAATCAGGCCGCACGAGGCGTTGGTATCCTTGCCGCACATTGGTTGATAGATGATTGAACGAGGCGCTGCGGCCCGAGGGGAGTTGTGGCTACGTCACAAAGAATGAGGGGCCCCTCGAGGGTCCGAAGCGCATCTATGCCAGGGTATCCACCCTGGGGGTATGTCAGATGTATGCCAGATGTTGCGATCCTAGGGGGGTTCTTCTCAGAAATCCTTGCCGCACATTGGGTGATAGATGATTAAACGATGCGCTGCGGCCCTAGTAGGGGAGTTTTGGCTAGATGATTAGACGAGACGTTGCGATACTAGGGTGGTTCTGATTAGACGAGACGTTGCGATACTAGGGGGGTTCTTCTCAGAAATCCTTGCCGCACATTGGCCGAGTCCCAAGTTAAGTCGATCGAAAAGTGTGTTCCGAGACGTTGCGAGCCTCGGTAAGCGTTACTGTACCGAGCGGTGATGCATACTAGGCGAAGTTCTGAGGCGTCTGTAAAGGCGTACAGAGAACGTACCAGCGGTCCCAGTCCGGCTCAATAGCGCGGTTTCGGCTGCTGACAGGCTCAACTTGTGCTTCTAGCGAGCTGAGCTTCTAGCGATGGCCTCTGCTCTCAAGACTTCCTCTGACGCGCCTCTAATAGGCTGAGCTTCTGACAACCGCTGCTCTTCAATTCGACAGACATCGTTGTTCACACCCGTTCACGTAGTGTCTGCTGGAGTGGTTTTACTTTTGAGAATTCTCAAAAGTCACTCCAATTCGACAGACATCATTGTTCACACCCGTTCACGTAGTGTCTGCTGGAGTGGTAAGGCTAACCATGAGCTCAAAGAACCTATTCGGACGAAAATTGACTAAAATAAGGAGGACCTGAGACGAACTGACGCTGACTCGGGAAGGAGTAGAATGGTGAAGTAGGACTGATGTTGGAAGAACAGGAAGGTACAGGAAACGTGCGAAAATGGCGACGGACCTTTCTGACCAGGGACGTGCGGAATGGGATGAAGACTGGAATTGTGGAAAGGGACGAAGTAGGCTTGGGATGGGTTTGGTAAAGTGCATGTTCAGTAAGAGTCGGCAAGGCCTCGCGTCGCGTTCTGTGCAATCTTGAGCATTGTGTGCTCGATCGACGGGAAATTATGTCAGTCGTAACGAACATGGGGCTCAGTAACGCGTACGGTAACCCGATCGCGCGAACGGTCACTATATCGGAAGTTTTTGCGTGTTTGGTAAGTGGTATAACGCGTTTGGTCACTAATATCTGGCGCTGAATCACGCGAATGGTCACAGATGAAACCCTCGACCGATCTGACGGCTCTAATTCCAACTTTTCGGTTCGCTTTCCTGGAGCGTCGATTTTTCTGAAGCAATGTATTCCGTCGGATCTGAAATGTATCGATCGAACGGCCCAAGATCCAACTTCACACTCTATGTGCAATTACCCTACGCGCTGAGATGGACAATTGTTTATCCGCTAAAACAAATAAAGTTTAATATCAGAAGTCATCATCTACCAGTAGAGAATAAAAAAATATATTCTAACACTCTTCGACTTCATTCACCAGGTGAACCCAATAGGTGTTCCAGGTGGTATTAAGTTCGTTAATATTTGTGGGCTAAAAAACGGTATTTAAAAAGTCTTAGTTTTAATCAGGGTGTAAAACAGAGTATGCAACGGTGAGCAATACGTGAGCCGTTCGATCTGAAATTATTAGATCCGACAGCTTAAACTAAATCGTGGGGAATCGACGCTCCAGAACAAATATTAGAAAGTTGGAATTAGAGCCGTCAGATCGGTCGAGGGTTTCATCTGTGACCATTCGCGTGATTCAGCGCCAGTTATTAGTGACCAAACGCGTTACACCACTGACCAAACACGCGAACATTTCCGATATAGTGACCGTTTGCGTGATCGGGTTACCGTACGCGTTACCGAGCCCCATGTCTGTTACGATTGACATAATTTCCCCTCGATCGACAGCCTGTACCTGTGGTACACGCAAATGTAAACACTTACGACTTCAATGTATGTTTTTTAACACACGAATTTACAGCACATCAGCATCGATCGCCCCAACGCAGCATGTAACACGGGCGGCCCATCAGCAGCCGGAGGATGCGAACAACTGCCCCAGCTTAGACCAGTCACGCGCAGCTCCGGGAATCCGAGCCGCAGCAGCAGCGGGTCGGCTCGACAGGTCTCTGCAGAACGCCATCAAATCAAAACCACTCGCAAGGCAGCGCTGAGTGATTTCACCATCCGCATCCGCTGTCAGCTTTTGGAGATTCTCAGCAGCAGCTTCGCCAGCAGCTTCGGGTCGACAGGCCTCTGCAAAACGCCATCAAATTAAAGCCACTTGCGAGGCAGCGCTGAGTGACCTCACCATCCGCATCCGCTGTCAGTTTTTGGAGATTCTCAATAGCAGCTGTGACAGCAGCTTCGGGTCGACAGGCTTCTGCAGAATTCCATCAAAGCCACTCGCAAGGCAGCGCTGAGTGATTTCACCATCCACATCGGCTGTGAGCGCCACTATGAGTAGCCGAGGGATGGCGGGGGTGATTGATGCTTGTGTGCATGATTGTGCATCTGCTGTTGCTGCTCTGGCTGTGGCTTCTGGCGGTGATGTGGGATGAAGAAGCAGGGCTTGCTCGTGTGCTCGTATGGACGCTGTGGCTGCGAACCTGGGGGGGATAACAGTGAAGCACAGAGAGAGGCAGCAAAGGAGAGCACTCAGCAGTGGGGTCGAGGCAGAGGAGAAGCATGACACTCGGCAGACACAACAGGCAGTCAAAGTGATAAGTGCGGCATTTACCCATGCATTCATACGACTCGCCCGTCCACGAGGGGCATCTGCAGGTACCATCAGAACCACATGCACTACCAACTGGACTTCACGCCCCCTCCCCTCCCACCCTACCATCCACCCATGCCCACAGCACAACTCACCCGTCCATGAGGGGCATCTGCAGGTCCATGAGAACCACATCCACTGCCTGTACAGCGGGCCCCAAGGCGGGCTCCACGGGTTGTGCCCTGCCTCCCCCCATGGCGTGCTTGACGTGCCGCACTGCCTCCTCCCCGCTGCCTGCGGTGGCGACGGTGGCACCGCTGCGAGTGAGAGTGCGGCGCGCCACCAGCAGATTCACCGCCGCATCGTCCACCACCTGATGGGGGGATCGAGAAGACCAGCACGGGACAGGAGAGAGAAGGACAGTGAGACCGATAAGGAGGAGGGGGGTGGGGGGCCAGAACAAAATCCAGACAGAGAGAGTCAGAGAGGGGCGCAATCCATCAACCAAGACAAAAAAGGAGAAGAAGAAGAAAATAATAATAAAATCATAACAAACAACAGAAAACGGCATGTAAAAGGGACGCCACAGGGCTAACGCGTGTTTGGCAAGCATGGCGAGCATGTTAGTTAGTTGTACCATGATTCTCAACCCAGCCAGCAGACTCATCCCTTCTCCCCCTCCTCCTCCTGCCGCTGCCGCACCCCCTCCTCCTGCTGCGGTTGCTCCCTCTCCTGCTGTCCCCTTTCCCTCCTTTGCTCCCATTCCTGCAGCTCCCCCACTCGCTGCTGACCCTCCCCCTCGTCTCTCCCCGTCCACAAATGAAACCCTCTTTTTGCAATTGGCATCAGAACTGCCAAGCCCCGCACCACTGGAAGCATCAGCGGGGATAGCAGCAGACACAGCTGTAGCAGCAGACACAACAGTAGCAGCAGCGGCTGTTGCATGTGGTGGTGTAGGACATCCAGCAGTAGCAGTGGCAGTGGCAGTTGCAGAGGCAGTAGCAGTGGTGATTACAGGATGAGCCGCTGCTAGGTGGGGAGCAGGTGGGTGGTGCTGGTGGTGCTGATACAGGATAATGGTCTGCGGGAGAGGGGAAAGAGGGAGGAGAAGGAGGAGAGGAACGAGAGGAATGAGAGGTATGAGAGGTATGAGCGGGTGGTGAGAGACGTCAAACAAGGAAAACGACGGAGTCTAAGGGAGATAACTAAAACAGTCGTAGGAGACAAAAAAGGCATTTGGCAGCATACCTGAATGGCAGAGAGCAGGTGGTGGGAGAAGAGAGGCTGCTGACACAGCACCACTGGAACCATGCCAATGCCACCCACATGGACTCCCTGGTGAGTGCCTTCACCTCCCTCCTCCTCGAGATTTCCTTCAAGTCGAATCACGCCAAGGCCACCCACCCCCTCCTCCCTAAAAGCCCCATGCATGTCCGCGTCTTCGAGATTACTCTGCCTGTGATGAGGCGACTTTTGAGCTGACTCGTTTTGAGTCGACTCAAAAGTAGCCCCATGCATGTCCGCCTCTTCGAGATCGCTCTGCCTTTGATGAGGCGACTGTTGAGCTGACTCAAAGCTCGTCCTGCCCGCCTCTTCAAGATTGCTCCACCTTTTAACATCGGCATAAGCATGAGCGTCAGCCTTGACAGCAGCATCGCCATCACCATTAGCGTCATCATCAGCACCAGCACCGCCACCGCCATTGAGAAAAGAGAACGAACCAGCATCAGAACAAGCATCAGAACAAGCATCAGCCTCAGCCTCAGCATCAGCACTACGGCCATCACTGTCATTAGCACGTCTCTGTCCATCTGCCATGCCTACCCCCTGCTCCTCCCCTCTATCTCCACCACCAACAACTCCCCTTCTATTTTCCGTGCCCTCTCCGACCCCTTCACTACACCCCCCTTTCTCTACAAGCACCACTATGCCAGACAGGGCCAGGCTGTGCAGTGGCGTGCAGCACAAGGGATTGCAGTCGTGCAATCTGCTTCTCCTGCAATCACTTGTGCTGCACACAACTGCGTTATTCTGCTCTTGCTGCTCTAGCTCCACTTGCTGTTGCTGCTGCTGCTCTTGCTGCTGCTTGTACTGCTGCTCTTGCTGCTGCTGTTCCGCCAGTTGAGAAAACGCCTCGTGGTACCTCTTCAGGCCAGCCTCCCCACTCACTACCACCACCAGCTTCTTCCCACACAATTTAGCAAAGCGCAGGCGCGAGTGGGAATGGGAAGACTGCCGGTGGCAAGCCTGAAAACCGGCTATGAAGGAAGCTGCTGCCTGTTCACCATTCGCCAGCAGCACGGACGCTCCTAGGTGTGTCAACACACGGGCAGTTAGCTGGTGGAGGGGAGGGAGGGAGACAGTAGACACACAGGTCAGAGGCGAGGTGGGGGAATGGTTGGCTGATGGAATAGAGGCACTCAAGACACCGGCTAAGAAGGAAGCTGCTGCCTGTTCGTCGTTCGCCAGCAGCACAGATGCTCCTAGGTGTGTCAACACACGGGCAGTTAGCTGGTGGGGGGGAGGGAGGGAGAGAGGTAGAAGGCACAAAGGGGAGAGGCGAAGGTGGGGGAGGGTTGGCTGTTCGAATTCGCAAAAACTGCAGCACGGATGCTCCTAGGTGCGTCAACACACGGGCAGTCAGCTGGTGACGGGAGTGGGGGAGAGAGTAGACACACAGGGGAGAGGCGAGGGTGAGATGGGGGATGTTGGCTGTTGGAATAGAGTCACCAGATACACTGGCTAAGAAGCGAGCTGCTTCCTGTTCATCGTTTGCCAGCATCACGGATGCTCCTAGGTGCGTTAACACACAGGCGGTCAGCTGGTGAGGGGAGAGAGGGAGACATTAGACACACAGGGGAGAGGCGAGGGTGACGTGGGGGATATTGGCTGGTGGAAAAGAGGAACCAGATACACCGGGTTAGTACCGAGATGCTGCCTGCTCATCGTTCGGCAGCAGTATGGATGCTCTTAGGTGCTCCAGCACAGGCGGTCAGCTGGTGGGGGCGACGATGTTGCGCCTGAGAGCAAGGGGAGCAGCCCGGGTGCGGGTGGAAAAGCAGAGGAGGATGCAGCAGCTGTTCACAGTGGCCGAGGTGGAATCGCTGGTGGCTGCCGTGGAGGAGAGGAGATGAACATTGGATTGGCAGGCGGGTTTTGGAGAGAGTGGCGTGTGCCTCCTCACCTCAGCACCCCCACTCTCCCCCACATCCACCTGCCAATCCAATGTTCATCTCCTCTCCTCCACAGCAGCCACCAGCGATTCCACCTCGCCCACGGTGAACGGCTGCTACTTCCTCCTCTGCTTCTCCACCTGCAGTCGCGCCACTCCCCCTGCTCTCGGGCACACCATCCTCGCCCCCGCAGCTCCTGACTGACCTGCAGCTTATGTGCAACCATTGCCAGAGGCACAGAAGAATCATCACACAGGGGAGAACTCTTGCCTGGAAGTAGGCAGCGATCATCACAGCATACTGAAGGGTGAATGGGCACCTCAAGAGCCAACACACTTCAACCGCCAAGACACAACAAGCCAGACTCGCAGAGCTTACACGCGAGAGCCTGCCAGTTACCTTACCTTGGCTCTCTCTGGCTGGCCATCCGCCACCACCACCACCACTCCCGAAAGGTCCGAGAAGTCCACCAACCCAGCTTCAGCCACAGCAGCAGCAGGAGCGGCAGCGGGAAAAACGGCTTTTGAAACAGGCAGGTTCGTATGGGACAGGTTGATCTGGTGGAGGGCTGTTGAAGGAAGGCTTGACTGGGGCAGTTGTGGCGGGGCAGAGAGAATTGGTATGGCGAGGGTAAAAACTGTTCCTGTAACAGGGTCGACCTCGCAGCTCATGTCACCCTTCATTAATGTCACCTGCAGTCATACGAACACAGCAGTGGAGGGCCAAAGACCAGATACAATTTGAGAAAAGAATTTGGCCTCTAAAGGGGGAACCAGAGATTTAAAGGCCAATGTTCTGCAAGAGAGAGGCCCTGTTTCACCAGCTAACTTCTGAAGAGGGAAAGTAAGGTGCTGGGAGTGAGGGTGCTGAGGAAAAGAATCCTCTTTACACCTGTTGTAAAGAGGATATTTTTCTCACCAGTTGCTTAGCCAACACGAGGCTGAGCTTCGCAGCAGCTTCCTCAGCTCCCTCCTGTAGGCTACGCATCTCCTGCACGCATGGACGCCCACACACACATTAAGTCAAGACCGGCTTTGAGCACCAAAGCACACACATACATGGACTCTCAGGACATTTGTTGACAAGTGGGTTTCAAAAGCAGGAGCAAAATATTAGCTTCAAAAGCTCACCTCAAATCGGAACGTGAATCCATTCATGGTCTCACTGTTGTCACACCCACTATGCTCACACGTCACCACCAGCTGCATCGCCCCGCCTGCTGCTGCTCTACTCCCCCCTCTGTAGTCACAGTCACCATCCACAATGACTGTATGGCTATTACGACCACCCATAGTACGGTTACCATGCATGTCGCCTGTACAGTTACCACATATGCAGGGACCACGAAGGTTGCACTGTCCTACTCCTCTACTGTCACACACAATACTGCTGCCATATCCTGGCCGTTTTCGCGTATTGAGCCTATTGCGTGCAGGCATAGGTGGACAAAGCTTCTGCTCTTCACTGCACAGCCCAGCACTACCAGCAACACAAGCCGCCACTGCTGCTGTGTCAGCATCCCCTTTTATAGTCACACCGTCTGAGTCTATCAGTGTAGTCACCCTCGCGCTGCTAACTGCTGCATAGGACGCTGCATTGAAGGATTGATTACCAAAGAAAGGGAGAAAAGGGCGGGCATACAGCAGAGAGAGGTTAGGCGACTCAGGCCTTCAGAAAAAGCAAAGCTCCATTCGTGAGTGCATCAAGAGTCCACTTTTGAGTTGACTCAAAACAAACATGGGTTCTAAATCTTCTGAAGAAGAAAATCAATACAACAACAGCTGAAGGCAGGTGAGGATGATAGATAGAACCTTCTCACTCACCGTTCCACTGAGCCAGCTGAGTCAAGGGCACGTCAACATCGGCCACAGCCACCCGAACCAGCACGTAGCCCCCGTGCGGCGTGAATGACAAGGCATAGTCTGCAGTGGGAGAGAGAGCGGGAGGAGAAGGGAGGGAGGATGGGACGGGAGAGAGCTGCTGCGGTGAGACGACTGTGCAATAGCCAGAGCTACCCCTGTGACAAGGGCCCGCCAACCCACTGATGCAGCATGACTCATGAGCTGCACGTTCTCGTGCTCCCGTGAACAGCAGCGCTGACATGAAAGTTAGCTGGCCGACAAACTAGGCCAACTGATTGAATAGAGGTGACAACATGAAGCCGAGGCTTATTTTGAGTCGACTAAAAAATAGGATCAACTGATTGAATAGAGGTGACAACATGAAGCCGAGGCTTATTTTGAGTCGACTCAAAAATAGGATCAACTGATTGAATAGAGGTGACAACATGAAGCCGAGCTGACCAGACAAACACCAACCCATGACTTCAGTTGAGAGAGAGTGAACAGCTGCATTGACAACTCCGAAACTGAAAACTGAACAGATGTGTCGAGAAGTAAGTGCGCTGAGGACACCCCCACCTATGACTTGAGAGAGCGCTTGGACGAGGCGCAGCTGATTTCCCACCAGCTGGTGCGGCACTATTTTTTAGGTGCCTCGGAAATAAAACTGAACAGATGCGTGGATATGTAATCGGGTGTGGGCTGACAATACAAGACACCCACCCATGACTTGCGAGAGAGCTTGGGCGAGGCGCAGCTGATCTCCCACCAGCTGCTGCGGCACACTGGCATCCACCACTGCTGCCACTGCTCACATGCATGCACGCATGCGTCAACACATGCATACATGCAAGCACACGGATTCGTACATGCAAGCACATATACAAAAGTAAGCAAAAAGTAGAAGAAAGAAAAGAAGAAGAAAAAGAAACGGAAAACAAGCAGAAAAAAAACCGCTCATCATGCACATCCCTCTCTTTCAAAACCATCTCCCTGAAACAGCTAGTATACTTGGAATATACATTCATCCTCTTTCCTTGCAAGCAAATCCCCTTCAAACCAGCAGCTTCTTTCTCAGACAGGCCGCATACTCACAGTGCACATTCCTCTCTTGAGCCTCCACCCATCGTCGAGCCACCTCCCCTTCCACCCACGCGCGCACGTCAAACCCGCCCGTCTCCAGCTGCAGCCGCCCCGCCTCCAGCTTGGAGAGGTCCAGCACCTGGTTCACCAGCTTCAGCACCTTCAGGGCGGACGAGCGGGCCATGCTTAGATCGGACAGCTGGTTGTCCGACAGGCACGAGTCTGAGAGCACGTCCAGCATGCCTGGGAGGGATGGGCGGGGGACAGGGGAAGGGGAAGGGAAAATCTGCCTCCAGCTTGGAGAGGTCCAGCACCTGATTCACGAGCTTCAGCACCTTCAGGGCGGACGAGCGGGCCATGCTTAGATCGGACAGCTGGTTGTCCGACAGGCACGAGTCTGAGAGCACGTCCAGCATGCCTGGGAGGGATGGGCGGGGGACAGGGGAAGGGGAAGGGAAAATCTGCCTCCAGCTTGGAGAGGTCCAGCACCTGATTCACGAGCTTCAGCACCTTCAGGGCGGACGAGCGGGCCATGCTTAGATCGGACAGCTGGTTATCCGACAGGCACGAGTCTGAGAGCACGTCTAGCATGCCTGGTAGTGAAGGGGAAGGACAAAGAGTGGCGGGGAGACTGGGGTTTAAATGAGCTTGGAGAGGCCCAGCACCTCGTTCACCCGCTTCAGCACCTCGAGGACACAGCAGTGCGCTGTGCTCAGGTCCGAGTGCTGGTTTTGAGAGAGTTCTGAGTCTGAAAGCACGTCCAGCATGCCTGGTGGTAGTGGGGGGGAGAATGGGGTTCGGACGAGCTTGGAGAGGCACAGCACAGCACCTGGTTCACCAGCTTCAGCACCTTGAGGGGAGACAAGCGTACCTATGATGCCAAGCATGGGGGTGCGCAGTTCGTGGGTCATGCTCGCGACAAAGCAGCTCTTGCTCCTCTCCACCCCCTCCGCCCGTCCTCTTCCTTACCAAACAAGCCCCAATCACGCCCATACCAAGCACCCCATAAAAACTTCAACAACAGCCCATACCGATGATGCCAAGCATGGGAGTGCGCAGTTCATGAGTCATGCTGGCGACAAAGCAGCTCTTGCTCCTCTCCGCCCCCTCCGCTTCCCCCCTCATCGCATCCGCCTCTACCGCTGCCCGCCGGCTCTGCTCGTACTGCCGCCGCTGCAGGCATGCCACCACCGCCACCAGCGCTACCAGTGCCAGCACGAGCAGGGTGAAGAGGGTCGGCATCACATATTCTTCAAACCGAGATGGGGGCTCCGTGAACCTGTTGGGAAGAAACGGGAGGGAGAGAACAGGGGGAGATCAGGTTATCAGATGGAATAAGCACAGGGTAACCACTTTGCTGCTGCCTGCCTGCCTGCCTGCCGGCTCTGCTCGTACTACCGCCGCTGCAGGCACGCCACCACCGCCACCAGCGCTACCAGCGCCAGCACCAGCAGGGTGAAGAGGGTCGGCATCACATACTCCATGTACCGAGAGGGGGGCTCCGTGAACCTGGTGGGGCAAACCAGAGGGAGAGAACGGATATGCAGTGGGAGGGACAGGGGGGAACCGGGTCACTCTATTATCGCCAGCACCAGCAGGGTGAACAGGGTCGGCATTCCATACTCCATGAACCGCGATGGAGGCTCCGTGAATCTGTTGGGGCGTACAGTGGGAGAGAGAACGGGGGATTGGGTTACTAGTAGCGCCAGCACCAGCAGCGTCCAGAGGATGGGCATTACGTCTGTATTCAACAAACCGAGAGGGGGGCTCCGTGAACCTGGTGGGTCAGAACCGAGGGAGAGAAACAGGCACACAGTGGGAGACCGAGAGAGAGGGGCGGGGAGGATACCAGTTTGAATACATACACACACACTCCAGCCCACCCACCCGCCCATCGAAACCACACTGAATCGTGTTTCTATCCGTCTCAAAGTGGACTAGCTAATGGACATACCTGAGCCCTAATTTTTGAATTCACACATCTTCCTATCCTGTTCATGTAGCGTATTGAGCAGGCGGAGAGGGATGAGGCACTGCTGGAGAGGGGAGCTCACCTGCCTGAGAAGGATTCTCAGGTGGAGCAGATGAGAGCTGAGATGGCGGAGCTGAGCCGTCAGCTGGCTGAGTGAGAGGTTCGATTGGGGCAGATGAGAGCTGAGATGGCGGAGCGAGATGTACAATTGGAGCAGAAGAGCGCTGAGCTGAAGGCAGTGATTGCGGAGCGAGACCACCTTCGAGAGGTAGGCTCAGGAGGGGGGGAAATGGTGGCGGGCGGCCCAAGAAATCACTGCTGGGTGGGTGCTGGGTGGGTTGTGTAAGTGCTGGGTGGGTGCTGGGTGGGTGCTGGCAGTGACTGCTGTTGAAGAAGAACACGCACACGCGTGATTGGTGTTAGATCCCTTAGGCCGCCCGCCACCATTTCCCCCCCTCCTGAGCCTACCTCTCGAAGGTGGTCTCGCTCCGCAATCACTGCCTTCAGCTCAGCGCTCTTCTGCTCCAATTGTACATCTCGCTCCGCCATCTCAGCTCTCATCTGCCCCAATCGAACCTCTCACTCAGCTAGCTGGCGGCTCAGCTCCGCCATCTCAGCTCTCATCTGCCCCAATCGAACCTCTCACGCTGACGGCTCAGCTCCGCCATCTCAGCTCTCATCTGCTCCACCTGAGAATCTTTCTCAGGCAGGTGAGCTCCCCTCTCCAGCAGTGCCTCATCCCTCTCCGCCTGCTCAATACGCTACATGAACAAGATAGGAAGATGTGTAAATCCAGAAATTAGGGCTCAGGTATGTCCATTTTGAGTGGAACCACTCCCTTCCACCCAACCCCACCATGCTAGCTATATTCATTACGCGCCTTGAAAGTCCGCCCCAGCACACCCACCCATCCACCCACCTGCACCACACTTGGTAGCGCCTGGGCCCAGCACTTGGCAGCGTGAGGTTCACGATTGCCCGCTTCTCCCACACGCGCAGCACCGAGGGGGGCAGCAGCAGCAGAGGGGCGAGTGGCTGGCCTGGCTGCGGCTGGAAGAGCAGCGGCGTGGTGCCGGCAAGCATGAGCGGAGAGGAGGGGTCTGTCGTGTCGTAGAGCTCGAAAGATCGGTCTGAGCCTGGATGGGGGAAAGGGGGAGGAGAGGAGGGAGGGAGGTGAGGTGAGGAGAGGGCAAGATCAGCAGGGAAGAGTAGCGGCGTGGGGCCGGCGAGCATGAGTGGAGCGGTGGATTCTGTTGCGTCGCAGAGCTCAAATGACCGGTCGGAACCTGGATGGGAGCGGGGCGAGGAGGAGTGGAGGGAAGGCCGGAGGGAGGATGAGATTTCTGATAGCACACTGCGCAGGACGGCAGTGAGGTTATAATTGGGTCGACTCAAAAATAGACTCATCACAGACGGCTGTGAAGTTGACAGTTGACACATGCGATCACTGTTCCCCCGCGGTAACAGGGCCCAACCATCAGACGCAGGCAGAGTGAGCTACTCACGTGCAGATGGGGTGGAAGACGAGAAGATCTCTGAGAGCACGCTCTGAACGACAGCAGTTAGGTTGACGGTGGTGGTCACTGCTCCCACCACTGCTGCCTGTGCCTGCTGCTGCTGCTGCTGCTGCGAGGGGGATAAGGAAGGAGGCCGCCACAGCACTGGAAACACCACCCCTGGAGTGGAGATAGGGAGGAAAGAGGTCAAGGAAAATGGGAGGAAGAAGGTGTGGTGGGTTGATATGGAGCGAACAAGGAGGGTGGGATGGGAGGAAGAAATGCAAAGAGGCACTAGAGGGAATAGCAAGTTCAGGTTGGTTAGTTAAAGCCATTGAATGCAGGTTGGCAGAGAAGAGCTTACCCAGGCCAGGAGTGCTAGTGGCAGTGGTGGTGTCAGTAGCGTGGTGGTGTCAGTAGCGGACAGGTGGGCTGCGGAGGTCTTATTTCCATCAACTTGAATGGTTCTTAGAACGACAGAACAGACCCCATGAAATGAATGAAGAGAGGAGCCTGGTTAACTGTGAGCTAGAACGTTTTCTTAGAGAGCCAGATTGAACAAAATCGTCAGCTTACATTTGAACATTCGTTAACTAGTTTTGGTTCTTGGCAGAGAAGAGCTTACCCAGGCCAGCAGTGCTAGTGGCAGTCGTGGCGTAGGGCAGCGTGAACGTCTCTTTGGCAGAGGCACGCACGAGAGCAAGCTCCGAGGGGAAGGCCTGCAGGGCGTCTGAGAGGAGAGGAGCTGCCCCTGACTCGCTGCCTACGTCCAAGACCTGGAGAGTGCGGACGGTAAGGGGCGGGACAGAGTGAACGTGAGCAGTGAGTGGTCAGTGTGGAGGTGGGGCGGGACAGTGTGAACGTCTCCTTGGCTGAGGAACACACGAGAGCAAGCTCCGAGGGGAAGGCCTGCAGGGCGTTTGAGAGGAGAGCTGTGCCTGACGCACTGTTTACATCTAGGACCTGGGAAAGGGATGGAGGTGGAAGAGAAGTGAGAAGGAGCGGTGAGCGGTCAATGCAGAGCGTCTCATTGGCTGAGAGAACACGAACGTGGGCTTTACAAAGAAGGCCTGCAGGGCGTCTGAGAGGAGAGCAGTGCCCGATTCACCGCCCACGCCCAGCACCTGGAGAAGGGGGGAGTGGAGAGGTGCGGAGATGGGGTGGAGAGCGGTGCAAGGAGGTGATGAGGGAGGAACATGCTGTAGGTGCGGTGAATGCAACCCTCCATTCGCAAACCTGCATCCGCAATTTTTGGGTGCCTCAAGAACAAGCGAGCTCGGGCTCAGGCGTGTACCTTGGGGCAGTAAATCGGAGCAGGCGTGCGTGGCCGGGCGGTGAGCGCATCGGTGATGGAGGCGTTGTTTCGCCGCTCAAAAACACGCCTTGTGGGAGGGAAGGAGGCATGCGAGGCGAGGGAGAGAGGCACGGGAGGGAACAGGCATGGGAGGGCACGTAGTAGGAGGAGGGACTCCCTCTGTTCACGCATCGGTGTTGTAGGAGGAGAGCATCGGTGATGAAGGCATTGTTCCACGCAAAGACACGCAAACCATTCTTTAGAAATCTAAAAGATTGCTCACGAGCATCAGTGATGGAGGCAGGTGCACTCACTGACCTCTGAGCGTGTAACATAGAGACACGCAAACGTCCCAACGCCTCCTGGGCGATTCTGGAGGCGCCTCAAATCAGCATGCCAAGAGAGCATCAGTTGCACCGACTGACCTGTGAGCGTGCGTGACATAAAGACATGCAAACGCCCCAACGCCTCCCGGGCGGGTGGACGTGGTTTGGCTGAGATACGCCATCCAGCGCCTCTCAGAGAGACACGTGTCCAGCGCCCATTGGTCATCCTCCGCCATGTGACCCAGGGATGCCACCAAGCCTGCCAGCGTCTGCACACCAGGAGGAGGGGGTGGTGGGAGGGGGTGGGGGAAGGGGTTGTGTGCATTAACAACGTCACGAGGGAGAGGGGTGTGAGAGGCAGCAGCACCAACATGTGATGACTCCAGTATGTTATTGTTTCACTCACTTGCGTCTGCGTCTGGCCAGTATGTGTCAACAGCTGCTGCTCCAGCCAGCCTCCAGCGCCATCGCTCGCTCCCCTATATCCACACATCCCACCCCCGGCCGGCCACTGGTACTGGCTCGCGCAACCCATGGCAGCACATGCAGCTACTTCCGTTTCGCTCACCTGAATCTGCCCTGTGTGCGCTAGCAGCTGCTGTTCCAGCACCAAGGCTCGCAGCGACACCATTGCCTCACCTCTACCCGTCGCTCCCCGTGCCACCACTGGTACTGCTGCTTCCTCATCCAACCCAAGGCGTGTGATTCTTTTCTTATTCACTCACCTGAATCTGCCCTGTGTGCGCTAGCAGCTGCTGTTCCAGCACCAAGGCTCGCAGCGACACCATTGCCTCAGCTCTACCCGTCGCTCCCCGTGTCCCGTGTCACTCCCGTGCCACTGGTACTGCCTCGCCCAACCAACCACAGGTGATTCCAGTTGTTTCACTCACTCACCTGCGTCTGCCCTGTGTGCGCCAGCAGCTGCTGCTCCAGCATTATGGCTCGTTGCGAGCACCCTGCTCCAGTTCCAGCCACTGCTCCCCGTGCCACGGGTACTGCCTCGCCCAACCCAAGGCAGCGCATGTGATTCCTTCGTATTCACTCACCTGCGTCTGCCCTGTGTGCGCCAGCAGCTGCTGCTCCAGCATTATGGCTCGCTACGAGCACCATTGCCTCACCTCCACCTGCCGTCCCCCCTGCCACCGTACCGTGTTGCCCATAAACCCAAGGCATATAAGTACTTTGTTTATTCACTCACTCACCTGCGTCTGCCCTGTGTGCGCCAGCAGTTGTTGCTCCAGCATTATGGCCCGCTGAGAGCACCATTGTCTCAGCTCCCCCCGCCGCTCCCCCTGCCACTGGTACTGCCTCGCTATGAACCGCCACACGCACACGCCCACACCGATCAGAATCCACAGAGCTATCAACACGTGGAACACAGAAACTGAGGAGGAGAGGAGGGTGGGACGGAGGAGGCGGATGGGAAGGAGAGTTTGAAAGAACTCTTATGAGAAAAGCAGGCCAAGGCGTGAAGAAAACATGGGAAGCGGGGAACAATGGTTAGATAATGACAGAATCACTTTTCGGGATTCTCACACGGCATGAAGAAAATACGGGAAGGAAGGAAGACAATGGTAAGGGACACATGCACACAGCCAAGGCAATTGGACGACATCTGAGTCGGATTTAAGGTCATGGCCATGCGAGAACTGCGGGTTAAGAAACGACCTTTGAGGCGCCTCAAAAGTCGGGCAAGGCAAAGAAGATCATCGTGAGCAGCTGGGTGACATATGAGTTAAATCAAAAGCCATGAGGGGACATTTGAGTCGACTCAGAAGCGATCGCGTCACATGCTCACGACAAAGCCAAAGAAGATCATCGTGAGCAGCAGGGTGACATCTGAGTCGGAACAAAGGTCGCGGCCACGCCGAGAACGATCTTGATCCACTCGACGGCGAGGGAAATTGGATTGTGAGACGATGGCCGCTCAAGTCGCGGTTGAATCGGAGTCAACTTTGAAAATTCTCAGATGTGACACCCATATACTTGACCACACGGACCACTCGTGAGGCGCTAGCTGACAAAGTGGCGGGTGTATTAGAGTCACTATTCATTTGTCAAAAGTGACTCAAATATACTTGATCATTCGGACGCCAAAGGGAAACAGGATTATGAGGCGCTAGCGGCGCAAGGCGGGTGGGCTGAGCGGGACGGGCTATGAGGGGGACGCTGAGAGGGGGGACGTTGAGACGGTGGACGCTGGGAACAGACGAACGAAGATGCGAAAAGAGCCGCCGTCTCTCACGCAGGAGAACGCAAAGCCAGTGGCTCAGGAGGAGACGCGTTCGAAAGCCTGCCGACCAAGAAATATCATAATTGTGCCAGTGACGTGAATTATAATCTGTCTCCAGACTTGCTTCTTGAACAAGTTTTCTTCCGACTGTCACGTGCCGGCGCATACCTCGTCTGCGTCTTCGTCCATCATGACGTTTTCCTGCTTTCTTCCCGCCGTCACCCGAATTTTCGTCGCTGTTATGACTCAGTGGAGAACGGTCCCGGCGGCGTCGGAACATCGGCGCGCAGCAGGAGTCGCTGCGGGCGTTACTATGGCTGCTCGTGCCACCGCTGTTACAGCTGCTACCATCGACTCCGCGAGATCCTAGCCCATCGTTCAGACGACAATCAGCGCTATCAGCCGTCGCGAAATCGTCGCGCTGAGCGACGGAACTTCCGTGTACTGCCTCTCGCACAACATGGACGCGGCCGCGTCGCGCTGATTGCCTGGATACTCGTACTACTACTGCTGCTTCCGATTCGTGGGGCGGATTTACGAGACAATCTGCGTTATTCTCCTCATCAGCCGCTGCTCGCGCTACAGAAGCGTCAGATTCTCCTAGGGAAACTCCCGCAGTGTCTGCTCGACGCACAGAAGCGACGGCCCGCCATAGCGAGCCGGCATGCGTCGATTCTATCGCGCGATCGTCGCGGACCTTTCCGCTGAAGAAGCGTTTCAACTTCCTGTGAGGCATTGCGAGGACGTGGTACGTAAACGGTAATTCTGGCTGCGAGGTACTACTAAAATACTCTTTCAAACTGAGCTCGGACGGATAAGTGAAGCTACATAGGCCCTGTTGTGATGGCCGCAGATGGCGGAGCGGTGTATCTTCGTGAAGTGCTACCCTCGCCTCACCTTTCCAGGTTGTTCATGGTTCGTTTGACGCGGTTTGGTACGTTTAACCACGATGAAGAACGATTTTGGCTTTCACCGCTTTAAACCGTTGCGCACCAAACTTAACCTTTCGAAGTCAATTGTAAACGAACGAAACAGCAAGAATCCCCCAACCATGAAAAGAAATCTGGTTACAAATCTGCCTGAGGCCATGAAAGGTCAACTAACCGAAGCTGCAAGATGTGTGGTGGGTGCCATGGCTTGGCATACCCTCTTGCAATGTCGGTGGGGCCGGGATGTGGTGGTGCTGGTGTGGTGGTGCGGGTGACGTGGCACGCCGAAGCTCAGAACAAGGTGCAACCCGACCCGAGGATCAGATTCCATCACCTTTCGCATCGCTGCTGCAGCAGGTTAGACGTGGTTCTGCTTAATGGAAAGGTTTAATGACATTGTTTAGTGCGGTAAATGGCGGTTTTGTTTTTACCTCAAAGGCCGTTCCTTCTCGAGTGGCACACTCTGCCTCTGCCACCAAACCTGTACAGTAGAAGCCCTCTAGCCAGCCCGCCCACATGTGTACAGAATAGAATCAGTGGTTTTGAGTTGATCACGCACTGTTTCTGTACTTATTCGCTCCCAGCGCAGCTACAGCGCTTCTGGCGCACTGTTACCGGCCATTTTCAGGTGCATGCAACTTAGTCTAGGAACTGTATTCAAGTGCATGCCATGATATTCGGCAGATGTGTACACTTTACGCATAGAAACGTGTCATCTTAAAATTATGCGCTTCCCGAGATTCGTTTCAAATTAGCACAAACAGTCGAGAATAGAGGCGATTTCGGATAACGCAAAGCGAAATCGGAATGGTTTGCTCTCGATTCTGCATTTTCTGACGTCACCAGAAGCAACCATTGCATGTTCGCCCAATTTCAACGCGAATTTCTGCTTTGCCCCAACTCTTCTTGAACAAATTTAAATGCTAGATCAGATGTACTATTAACACAGGTGACGAGCGCTGCGCATGGCAAATCAACATTTTTTTCTTGGGCGTGCAGAAATTTGGAAAGGGTAATCCCAATTATGAGAAGTCTGCCTGACTGTTTGTAAAGTTTTGCCCTATAAAAAATATTGTTCATACGGTACATGTATATTCTAATTGTTGGGATACCTTAGCTTTCATTACTTACCATTTATAATACTTGTAGCATATTTATTTTATAGCGGTAAAGGAAACTCTATTAGAACTCGGGCATATTTTTCACGTTTCGGATCATCCTTTCTTAATTTCTGCACGCCCAAGAAAAAATTGTTGATTTGCCCTGCGCAGCGTCCGTCACCCGCGTTAACAGTACAACTGATCTATCATTTAAGTCCGTTCAAAAAGAGTTGGGGCGAAGCAGAAATTCACGTCGAAATTAGGCAAACATGCAATGATTGCTTCTGGTGACGTCAGAAAATGTAGCATGGAGAGCCAACCATTCCCGATTTCGCTTTGCGTAATCCGAAATCGCATATATTCTCGATTGTTTGTGCTAATTCGAAACGAATCTTGGGAAGCGCATAATTTTACGATAACAATTTTCTAAGCCGCGTGAAGTGTACACACCTGCCCAATAACATGGCATGCACTTGAATACATTTCCTAGACTAAGTTGCATGCACCTGAAAATGGCCGCACTGTTACTGCCCAGTTTTCGCTTAGAGCGCAGAAACAACGTAATAAACTCCTTTTGCTGCTGCGAACTGCTGCGAGTTTCCTCCTGTGAAGAACGGGTCTGTCTGGTATCCGTGGGTAAATAGGCCTGTCAGCAGTGGGCTAGTCTGGGCAAGTAGTATCGCGTGGAGTTGGGCAGTAGGGCGGGTCAGTGCGTCGGCAATGTTTGATGCTCCCTTTTTATAGGTGACTGTGTAGTGGAAGTTTGACTCGAGAAAACCGAGCGAGCGGATCTGTCGTAGGTTGAGGTGGGGCTGTGCGCGAAGGTACTGTAGGGATCAGTGGTCTGTCCGTACTGTCACGTCTGCGCCAGTCAAGTAACAGCGCCAGACTTTGAACGCATGCACGATCGCGAGCATTTCGCGGTCGTGTATCGGGTAATTTTTTTCGGGCGGATGCAGCTTTCGTGACTCGTATGCGATGGGCTGTAGGCCGTTGCCGAAATCTTGTAGCAGTACGGCTCCAATAGCGATGTCGCTTGCGTCTGTTACTACTTCGAAGGGGCGGTGTGGGTCAGCGATGCGCAGTACGGGCGGTGAACAGAGAACAGTTTTCAGGGCAGAGAAGGCAGCATGCTCTTTCTCCCCCCACGTAAAAGCGACCCACTTCCGCAGCAGATCCGTCAGTGGGGCTGTTAACCTTGCCATGTCGGGGACGAACCGACGCACGTAATTAACGAACCCTAAAAAACTCTGCAGCTCCGTGATATTTGTCGGGGGGTGCCACGCCTGTACCGTGTCCAGCTTCTTTGGGTCAATTTCAACCCCAGCCTCCGAAATAACGTGTCCTAAAAATTATAGCCTGTCCTGAAAAAACTCGCACTTGGAACCCTTGGTCAGTAACCGGTGCTCGTCTAAAACCTTAAAAACTGCTTCCAGATCTGCTAAGTGTTGCTGCTTATCGCGACTGTAGACTAGGACATCGTCGAGGTAAACTATCACGCATTTATCTAAGAGTGGTCTGAACGCCTCGTTCATAGTCATCTGGAATGTTGCCGGTGCGTTAGTCAGCCCGAAAGGCATTACGGTGTACTCGAATGACATGTACCTAGTCCTAAATGCTGTCTTGGCGCAGTCTGATGGTTCGACCCGGATCTGGTGGTAACCTCCCCGTAAATCAATTTTCGAAAAGATCCGTGCCGTTCGCAGTTGATCTATCAGTTCGTCGGCGCGGGGAATGGGGTATCGCGACTTGAGTGTAACCCTGTTCAGTGCTCTGTAGTCGATGCACATCCGGAAACCTCCGTCCTTTTTCGGTGTGAACAGTATCGGTGCGGCGAACGGTGATGAACTCGGTCGGATGAATTTCTTTTCCAGTAGGTAATCTAACTGCTTCCTTAGTTCGTCGAGCTCGGGCTGTGTCAGTCTGAACTGCCGCTATACGGTTGGCTGTGCCCCGGGTTCTAACTCTATCCGGTGGTCGTGTGCTCGTTGAGGTGGCAGTCCCTCTGGTAAGTCGTCTGGAAAAATCCCCGGGTATCGTTTCAATAGTTCCTGTAGTTCGGGCGGTACTGCTGCCAACAGTTTCTGAAAATCGCTCGGCTGCTCTGATTCTCCTACCAACGCTATATCCACTGCGTACACGTCAGCTCCAGCGGCGACAGCCCGTTTCATCGTGATGGCGTTGACGTGGACCGTTGAAGACTCAGGCGACTGCCAGCGAGGTAGCTCAACCCAGTTACCGCTACTTCGCACAGTGCAGCTACCTGTCGTCCAGTCGATTCGTGGGTTATATCGTCGTAGCCAATCACGTCCCAGTAAAATGTCGTGCCCATCCAATGTCGTCGCGAGCATTTCCTGTGTAAACCCAAAGTTCCCCCCGC